GAGCCAAAATGCAGTCAGAATCAAGTAAGGGCCGAAGATTGATTACTCAACGCGTTTCGCTCCGTCGGATGCAAATCAAAGTCTGTGGAATATCCCCTGTGATCCTATAAAGATCTTATCAATCAAATCTCGACACCCTTGAGCTTTCGCGATACGTCGCTCGACTCAGCTTTCGCGACAGATTTGTCGGCTGAGCCCACAGCCTCCTTATTCACATCCCTCGCGATACTTTCTCCGTGATTCGCGGAGAAAGTGTCAATTCGAGAAGACCAGGTAGCTTCGCATCCGTTCCGGGGGCATCGATGCCATACGGCTCCGCATTTCACCGGGAATCGTTTCGGACTCATATCGACCCATCAGGCTTCCGGTCTCCAGAATCGAGTTCCCACCACGATCTCTTCCCAACTCTGAATGCCATACAATCGTTCATTGGATTATACGTAGACTGGGACCAGGCAGCCTATCGTCGGGGCTGATCCGTTCTAGGCATCTTCGATCCGTCAGGGCCAGATTCCGTCTGTTCGAAGTTATTCTGCGACTAATTGCGCGACGTTTCCGATGTTGTGTCTGGCACGAGCTGCGCGGTTCCGACGCGGAAGAATTCTCGGCATAGGGACTTCCCGGGAGCAAAGGGATCCGATCTTGAGAGCGTCGAACTCTCTTAAGCCGAAAGAACTCGCCCGATAATAATGCATCGAATATCGAGATGGACCATCAGAGTATCCCTCGGTACGATCTGCCTCTGGTGACTCAGAGTCGATCCTCGTCAGAGACCGCGAGACGGACTTTGATTGCCGGAGCCAACCGGAAGCGGCAAGATGTCCGACCCAAACTCACGCGCAGGCGGGGGCCAAGTGAGCTATAGCCCTCGCTTAGATTCAGCGTTCGTGATGCTAAGCCACAGGAGCGAGTCGTCATGTAGGATATCAGCCCCAGGCGAAAACCCGATTTAGCTCCCCTCCAAGGAGAATCCTGCGGACGCCGCTGCCCACAAGCTCACTTCATGCAGAAGATCACTTGCGCTCACGCACTGTTGCTAAGCCGTCACGGTCTGACGCTTTCCATTCTCAATGGAAATACGAGACGTCGGAAAATCGACATCCGATCCATCATCTCACATCAGCTAACGGTATCCGCAATCGGCTTCTCTTGTCCTAGCTGATGGTGAGGAACGTATGAGGTCTAGGAACATGAGTGTCAGCCTGATGACAGAACGGCGACCTTCATGCGCCTCTTTTCAATTCCAAAGATTCCAAGAAAAAAACACCTCGAATTCGAGCTCAAACCGTCAAACCATTTAACGCTAGAATCCGATCCCGCTGGTCAACCTTCGACAATCATTTACGGGACCTTCTCCTGTTGTCCGGACTTCGAGGAGCGATTTCCCAGAGGCAGGTTTCCCGAGGAATTCTCAGCTCCGAGTTCACGGACCCTCGGTCAGATCAGTCGTGAGTAAATTCTGATTCTTTTTTTGGATGGCGTGCGGTTGGGATTATAAACAAAACATTTACTTCGATTGGAAAGTGGCGCGGCGAAAGGCGCGCGAAACCTCCCTCGAGCCATTCAAATCAACAGCAAGAATCAGGTAGAAGAAGAAAAGACAAGCGGGCTTGTTGTCGGGTACCAGAACCCTTCGTTCTATAACAGTTCAAGCGGCCCTGACCCAAAGGAATTTCTGGAAGTCACAAGGAGATGTAATGATAACATATTTTGACGAAATAGAATATCACCTTGAACTTTTTCAGAGAGCCCAGAATTGAACAACGACGACATCCATCCCGAGGGAGAAGATGCCTCTCAGCGGCAAAACCGGGGATCAGGCTCCGGTCCAGATAGATGGTCCGACGCTCGGAGTCTGACATCCGAGGCAGGGTCATCCCTCTTGGGGAGGGATAAGCCTCAAGTTTTAGCGGAACACTTGATTCTTCGACGAAAATCGCGTCAATCCGATGCGTGGTTTGAGACCTCGCTACAGAAGGTTGCGTTGGTCAAGGCATTGAAATCGTTATACAATTTTCTGGAGTGTTGTTCGTATCATCGCCGTCTTCGCTGACGGGAACGCCGGGCCGGCGCCGTCTGCTGGCTCGCCGTGATATGAGCGTACTTGAGGCTAAGTACATTAGTTCGTTCTTTATGAAAAGGTGAAGAATGCGCAGCAGTACGCGCCGTGGCGCTCAGTGACCTGATGAACGGAGAATCCGACAGGGATGATCCACCGGCTCTGCGGCTTGTAAGCGACTGCGCGTCGTTCGAACTTCTTCGCTCCTGCCCACACAGCAGCATTTTTCAGCGAGAGATATGTCTTTTATCTCTCGGTGAGCTGCGACGCTTATTTCTGCAGATAAACTTCCGCCGGCGCGAGATTAGGGAAGGATTCGAAATTAGCAAACTGGATACGACGGATCCAACGCGTTCGGAGGCCGGAAGTATTTCCGAGCGTATTGCTCGGGGAGCCGACTGAAACTGGTTGGGCTCTTGGTACGAGCGGAGTTTTGTTTTGATCCACATGTGGAAGAATATGGCACTCGAATATGGAGCCTGGCATCGAGCTTGGAACTTGTTTCCCAGAAGCAGTGCTCCAACATGTCCCGCTGTCTGAGAGCGTTCACGATCAGAGGAAGTATTCTCCACGACAGAAACCTACCCGGAACTTCCTGATCGTGGGGAGAAGGTGAGCTTTGCTTCGTAGGATAGGAAACTGATGACTGATGACCCGTCCCGTCGAATTCCGTGCTCCGGCTACCCTGTGCTCGATATTGCCCCACAGATCCGAGAGAGTCGTCAATAGAAGCCGACCAGCGCTCTCGTTCCCTCTCCGCTGTTATTCGAAGAGACGGCCGTTGAAAGCGGATGTCACTTTCCAGCTGATTACTCTTCAGCTCTTTGATGAGCAATTGAGTCGGTCCCGGCTGAGGCTCGAACGGATGAAGTCAATAAAACTACATTCAGAATGTCGATGTATCCAGAGGACGATGGCTATAGGCTTTAGGGACCATGCTAGGACCTGGACGCGTATCCACCCAAGGGCTGGTGGGGCTTCAGTGTCCCCGCAGCTCATGTTCGTGATGCTGAACACAAGGGCGGTCACCAATCCGGAGGCTCGGTCCCATCGGAATCCGTTGAGCCCCCGTCGGCGGGAGAATATGCCTCCGCCGCTGACTTGAGCGGAGGATTCCACAGAGATTCGGCGGAGAATCTGAATGTCCCATCATTAGCTTGAAAGAAGAGAACCTGTCTGATCGGGACACTTTGTGAGCGATCATGCTCATCATGGATCTGATGCATCCTTGATGAGGTGTCCACTGTACATGCGTGGAAGACGGACGGTCCCCGTCCATTCTTCCCGAGAGCGCTCCTCATCTATCGCGTTTTCGACCCGGCTTTGCGCGCATCACAGATCGTCGGAGCCCAACCGATGAACGGATCGAAACCAATGAGCCCGTCAATCTCGCAGTGTATCGCTAAGTCTCAGACTCTCTTGACGGCCGACGCGTTCGACATGCGAAACCCCTCGGCGAGCCACAAACATCACGAGACACTAGAGGTTGCGCGGCAGAGCGGGGAGCGCTTCGGTTTCAAAGCTCCGAATCGCTGCTCAGAATTTCTCAATCAGGAATTCGATGAATCAAGCCGCTCATTCGATTCATCTGGGAACAGGAAGTTGTCGTCAGTCTCGAATGGAACTTACCGCATGCGTGGAACTAGTTTGCTAACACGGAAGGATTCTTCGAATGTTGAAACTGAAGTTCTTGAAAACACTTTTTCCAGCGAAACACTGCTCTGACTTTGATAACAGTCATGCAAAGACTTCTGTACGACTCAAAGCTGCGGCCCAGAGAATCCGGCGAGCGCTTCGCCCTCACTCTCACTTACCCTAGACACCAAGGCCGCCGCTCCGGCTTCAACAATAATGAGACTTTTTCTGGCGTCCGAACCCGAGCTTTTCATACAGTATTCACGGAGCTGGCGTCAGAACCTCCACATTTCTCTCTTCCTCGATTTTCGGCTACCAATTCAGACCCGATCGGGATCCATCATCGCATCGACCATTCAGGAAGCCCCTTCGCTGGCCGCAAAGCGTTCCGTTTCTTTCACTCTTCTAAGAGCTATTTCAGTGAGTTCACGGTCGCATGAGCAACAGGAAAGAAGACAAGAATCTGGATGGGAATCTTCCCCTGCCAGAAAAGAGGGGAGCGACGGCTCTTGTTGCGACTTCTAGAACAGATGCTCCAGTGCAGGGCCGCACGAATCGGACGTCTCTTATCTCTCGCGGGACGAATGCAATGAACCAACATGCCAAAAACAATAGAATAATTCTCAACGAGAGATACGTCTCGACAACGCGAGTGGAATCACATCGTGTTTATTACATGATTGTGGGACCGCCGCGACATAACCTCCCCCTCAAGGGTCATAGTACGCACATTAGACCCAGAAGAAAATTTTCGGCGAAAGGAGGATCTGTCATTTGCGTGCGATATTTTTTTCGCGGGGCAGAAAACAAGTCAAGTCGATCGAATCGAACTCTGATTCCCTTCTCGATCATCTACGGTAAGATAGAATGGCTCGTGTTAGGCGTGAGTAAAAAGAGAAGCGCGCAGTTTCTTTTTTTCTTCTCTTTCTGGGAGCCGATTGAGCGATACAATGACTCGGTGACGTCCTTCGGAGCAGCGCGCAACCGATCCGCCATTCAGAAGGCGGTCAGTGGCCGCAAGCTGCCGTAGTGAGAAATCTAATAACGGCAGCGGTGTGACGCCTTTGGAATAACAGAAATAGACTATCCAATAGCTTACGTCGACTACGGTATTCTTGGCATGAACGCTAAGTCGCTTACGCAACAACTCATCTATTTCGATAGATGATGGATAGCTGTGTTTATTATCAATAAGAGCCGCGATGGAAAGACGCTTTAAATCTGGTGAAGGTTCGCACTGAAACTCACCGCGGTGGAAGCATCCGCTTCTTTTTCCGGGATGTGGAAATTCAAGGGCGTGAAGCGATCTTTCAAGAAAACAGTATCCAAAATTTATTTCCACTCCACATACAACAACAGAGCGAGACCTACGATGTATGAAAGCTTGTATGACAGAATTCTCAAAAATTGCAGGGTGTTCTCCCCTTGTGCAGAGTCGAACCTTCACTCGGAACTGAAAATCTAACTGAACATCTCGTGATAAATTCATGCTCCGCGGTCCATATCTCGTAGTTTTTGAACAAATGCCCGTATGGGATCGAGAAGCATTCTTTAGACCTAATATCACCGAACTTCGAGCTCATCGAGAATGCAAATAAGATGCTTGTTCCCACCAAGTCTTTCGGTTTCATCGCGGCAGAGTTTGTCCAACTCATGAAGACGCGCGCGGGTGTGTTCCAAACTCCCCAATGTGCTAAGAAAGGCAAGATTTTAGTCAATTGACGTTCCTAACGTCTCCGCCGTACCTAAAACATCACTCGACACCTTCCGAAACAGTCGGTTCATAAGCGATCAAGAAAAAATTACCGGAGAAAAGAGACGGCGTATTTTTTCAAATCCTCATCTTGAGTCCGCTGTCGAAGAATACTTATGATGCGACCGTCAGCCGGTTCCGATCGAATGGCGTGGATAATTGGATACGAAAACTTCCCCTCCGTGAGATCTTCGCAGAACGTCTTGTTTTTCGCATAGTCTTCACTGACTAGATTCTCGTAATCATCCCGGATTTGGAAGTAGAGACCGAACAGTGCTGGGGAAAATTTTTATTTATCAGGGGTCAGGCATTTCGGGATGTAAGTCCAGACTTGAAATGATATCCGATATTTTATACTGACCTGTAAGAGTTGAATAGTCTTCCGTAGCCTTCGGGGATCCGGAGAATACTTGCATCATTTTCACGGCCAAGCCGAAGAGTCCGCCGGTTTTCCTCTTGACCATCAGTTCATAGGCTTCAACAGTCGGACAAATCAAGTTATCGCGATAGTATATCTCCATACCCTGCCCGCGGTGCAGTTCCAGCATTTGTTCACTGAAAACCTAAGGAAACCCAGGAAGGATTCATCATTCACTTCTCCATCGTATATGAAGTCGATCCCTCCCGTCACTGGTGCCGAACGAAGGTGAATAAGGAGGGATGGCGATAATGAAAAGAATAATAATGGCATCGCCAGTCAGATGATTAAATACATGAGGATACCTCCGTGAACAAGGGATGCTCAGAGTGTGCGTATATTCATGATGAGAGTCGATGAATGATACGGAGCAGCGAGTCAAGAACGACTATAAGTCGGGAGGAAGTCGGAAACTAGACGACGATTGCCCACCGGATAGGAATCAGGCCTAGACTTGTCGCGGCTGTCGATCTACATATGCATGTATGGCCAGAGTCCGAGTTCTTCGATCGGAACCACATCAAGAGCCAGCCTCCCTATCACATCATGAGCGAGTATTCGCCATGAACTTAGTGGTTCTCGTGAGATACTACGAAGTGCGGGATCAAAGCATCTTGAAGGCCGGTGCCCGAAAACTACCTGATCACCTAGAAACGTCCTTCGAGAATACTGTGTGAACCGTCGTCTTAATAAGACTCGAAGTGGATCCTGAATACGAGCTAATCGTTTTCTACCTCGGTCTGAAGGGCTCGAATATTCTGTATCTGTTAAGTTGCCCCGAATGGAGCAGGGCAGCGCTTGAATTATCGCCCAAGCATAGTAAATAACCGTTATCCCATCTGATAAGACGAATAGGAATAGACCGACAGCGACCCGACTCTTCGATAAACAGAGCACAACAATTTTCTGGGAGTTCATACCAGAAAGAGTCTGAGCATTGTCATCGATAAGGTGATGAGAACCATCGCCTTTCCGAAGTCCTTTCCGTCGAAGATTCTCGGTCTATCTTCGAGAGGTTTCTCTAATATTCGAGTAAACTCACCTCCACAGCTCTCGAGTTCCCCAATTTCAAGCACTTCTCGAGCCCGAGAAAATAAACGTAATTCGCTGTGTTCAGTGTAGAGGGTATGCCGAAGACGCGGTGAGCTGTGGGAACTCCTCGACGAAGACTGCTGTTGTCCTCGATGTCGTCTACAAGTAAAGACGCGTTGTGCAGAAGGGACACTATGTCAGCGATGCGATCACAAACCTGCGCATCGACTTCGAGCCAGAAATTGAATGCTTCTGTGAGCTTCTTCCGAACGTTCTTTCCAGGGACGGAAGCGATGTAATCGTACGACTGAAAACCAGAAATGAGTAAAGGATGGTACCCTCTTATAATGACAATTAGTTTTAGCTCCAATAATCGGAATGCTTCCTTCGTCTTCCCTTCCTCGTTACAGGCACGATGGAGAAGCACTCGGGAGAGTTATCCGGAGGAAGCTTTAGTCAAGGGACCCAAATGTGAATTTCACAGGGCTCGAATATCAGCGGTGAAAGTCTCTGCAGGGAGGATCCGCGCGCAGAACGCCGGCGGCGCCGACCCGAGTCGACGGTATTCAAGAAGGCTCCTCCGATGCACTCCACCCACGGCGCTTTTCGCCAAAGGGGGAATGAGATGGAGGAATGATGAATGATGAATGATAATCCAACAGGTATGTCGCGTTCCATTCTCCAATTGCCGTTCGCGGAGTAAGAGGCCGACACCGAACCAATCCGCGCGAGGCAGGCTGGGGGAGTTTGTTTTCATAGGCTGATTCCCCTGTAGAGAGAGACGCTTCCACCTGCAGTCAGAGGATCTGCCGAGCTCATCCAAGGACGAGCGCTCGGGGTCGCTAAATTATCACTTGGGGGACAGGGGATTCAAATCCTCCCAGGGACACAAGTCGTCCAGAGTCTCGGAATCCCTTCCGGGTGAGGTCGGCGCCTTCTTCCGGCAACACTCCGCGGACCCGCTCGGGAGCAGCAATCGCACACTAGGATCGGACATCATCTGCGCCGACCATCAAGGGGTAATGCGAAGAGAGCGCTGCTGTGTGTAAACGAGCAGTGAGGTTGAGAGGTACATCGTTCCAGACACTCTGCGAGAAATCTACGTCCAGAGGTAAGGGATAAGGGATCGTATCATTGCAGATGACTATGGATCGATATTTCCTGACCGAGAGCGACCTTTGGAAACTCCTCGGCAGGAGACAGGGATTTACCCTTTGTATTTCCTCGTCCTCATAGGTGGCTGTCCCATCGTCTGTTCGAACATAGAACGCGGACGTATCATTCTGTAGCGACTTCATCCTACACTTTGTTAGCGGACTGCGGAATCAGACTACCGATGTCGACGAATGCGAAATACGAGGAAGAGATTGGTTGACTCATCGGAAACTCCCTTCCGCATGATTCAGCGCGCGCCCCTATTGCAGACAAGAAATTGATCAATCGGTGATCCTCCGTCAGCGTCGTTTCTCCGGCATAATTCATATCGGGGTAATTAGCCGCTGCTAACCCCTCAACAGCCATGATCTGCGAGTCGACAGAAAATGTACACCGGATATTCGACTTGAGCAAAATTATTCGAAAAGGAGAAGGAGCGTGCCGGCGCCGCCCCGATGTGGGAGCCTTTCACACGTGGTCTACGTCTGACAGGTAACACACCCCGCCTGAGATAAATCGCCGAAATCTTAAGTTTTCCCACTGGGTTCGACTTCCACCTGTTGCACTGGATAGTGTTGAACATTACCTGGAGCAGAACTTTCTCCTCATCAATGAATGGCGGAATCGGCTGACAGTCATGATGTTGGGTCTGATTTCTTTCTTGTGCCATAGGAGCAGCTAGCAGCTTAAGCCAGTCGCAGCTTCCGAAATTTATACACAACACCACCAGATTCTCTCCAGACAGCACACAGAGGAACTATTCGCTGAAACTCCCTGGGCACTTGACACACTCACACGCGCCCGGAGAGAGCGCACCAGCGGCGGCGGCAGCTCGGAACACTTTTTGGGGTCCTCGACGCCCGGGGATATCAGCAGTTTCTCCTCAGATTGTCGAGGATTGTGTTTTCACTCGAGGACCGTTGGGGACAGCGGACAGGAGTATCGAAGATGTGGGCTTCGATGGAGAAAGAAACACCGGGCGGTACTCGGTAGCGTAAGCGAATTCGAATCACGACGCTGATGGTGATGATCTTTGCCGGAAACTCTCATTGTCAGACGAGTAAATTCGCACCTGAAATTGCGCGAAACTCCACTCGGCGTCCACGAACTGAGCCTGCTGGCACAGCGGAGTTAATGCAGTATGATGACACGCAGGAGCACGAGCACTGCAGAGCTGTGCTCCCGAGAAAATCGATAATCACCTCAAACAAGATTGTGCATCACCATGGTAGAGCTTTTCGAGCGGTGTACCTGACGTGCTCAGAGGAACGCTGCGTCCCAGGCAAGACGATTAGGGAGACATCTCGTACGCCGCACAGCGAGCCGTCCCGGCTTCATTCGCTCATCTGCTCTATGGGCTCCTCTGATTGACGATGTTGTTGTTCCGGAATCATGAAGCTCTTGCGGAATTCCAAAAGTGGGGGCGGGGGGCATGTTTGAGTGAGTGGTGAGTTCGAATCCCGGCTACTTGCGGAGGCCTTCGGATCGAATCCGCAGGGTCAACCGCTGGTATGTACTGGAAAGGGGAGTCCTACCCTGGTGGCACCCTCCGCAGGCTCGCTGGGCCATTTCTCCCGCTTGCCCGCTCTGGAGGAGTCTGGATAACTTGTGGTTCCGCCTGATCGAACGGCAAATATTCCTGGATACAGTCGAGCGCGAATCGTACCCTCCGAGAGCTTAGGCTTCCCCGAAGAAGAAATCTGTCGGTTCGAGATCGAGAATCCGGAACCATTCACGCTCCGTGGAGAAAATCCTGGCCGCCCCAGACTAGGAGTGACTTCGTTCCTTGATGCTCTAGAAGGAGGGCCGGTCCCAGGAAGCGGGCATCCGGAGATTTTTGAAAAATTCAGATCTCGGAGTCCACAGGCCCGATCGGATGAGGCCGCTCTAAGCAATCCCCCTTCCCCCGCCCTCCGTGAAACAGCGCGCAAACGTCTGAGGGTACTGGTACGACCCGCGTTACAGTATCCAGTTCGAGTGGAGATAACTAGACGCGCTGCGCTCGTTGACGATTGAAGACATGGCCGTTCACATACTGTTCTCCGCGCGGAGTTGGTAAAGTACTTCGAGACGAGGCGGAGGAGTAAGAAGAGGAGTTATCTGACGGCTATTCAGAATAGCTGATCAGACAGCTGTTCTTCAGTTTATTGAACGAATGTGAAGCTTCGCGACACCCTTTGCATGCTTGCTCTAAGATCGTCTCCCGGCCGCCGTCGAAGGCTACCGCTCGTCGTCAGCATCTGATCCCGGTACCAATGCTCATGAAGGTTCCGAAGGTACCTCCGCCTTGCATCATCGCCTTGCCCATACTTTTCATCAGCTCAACGCCTCTGAATCCTGACCGCAAGGCAGCGAATCCTCCGAAAAGAGCGCCGGAAACGCAACCGACCGCGGCGCCCATCATGAAACCCATCTTCATCCGGTCGAAGCACGAAGGTTGATGTCCTCGTAGTGCACCAGCAGGCACAGCCGGCATGTTGACGTCGTTTCAGCCTCTTCAGTACTTTTTGAGACCGAGTTTGACACGACTTTCAGCTTGGTTTCCCACAACACGCGCACCAAAACAACGCTGAGTTTTCACCACCTTGTGTTATGGGAGGAGGAGAGCGATAATTCGAACGTAGTAGCAGCCGCGCGCCATGTGGAAACAGATGTTGTTCGGTATAGAGGGGCGTCGTTCCCTCGCTCAAAAATCTCTCGATTTTACATCTCTCGGAGACAATTCGTCCTTCTTTTCCAAAATCTCTTCCGAGAGGAGCGGGAAGGTATCAGGCAATTCCAGATGATTGAATGGTTTGCGGCGTTTGCCGTGGCGATTGTGGCGACCTTCATCAGTCGGTAAATAACGACATCGGTGTCGATGATCTCTATCTGGCTCGCAATGGGAGGCTGTTCCATCAGCTTCCTCTGACGTGAGACCCATGGCGAAGTTAACGGGTCGTGAGTCGCGAGCGTTTCCCTAGAAGCGCATGTTGGAGATTCCTCGAACGGAGCTTCCATGTGAGGTCATGTACAGAACCATGTCGACTTTTTTCCCGGTACTATATGAACACTGGGGACGGGTTTCTAGAACCCGGAGAGACGACGGATGTATGGCCATCGATGAACCTCCTATGCTAGAAGTGATTGATGACGAGGAACGGCGGCTGCCTCAGAGTCTTTGCTAACGAAATCGCCTCAGAAGCTCGTTGCTAGAAGTTCCGAGTCTTTGTACGAATACATCTTCCGGAAGATCCGAGTCGTCAATTCAGGATCTAATTGTAGCATGCATCGGAGCTGATTTGCGGCCCCCCTCTCCCGTTCTAGGCTCTCTCAGAGAACTTCACCCTCGGTCCGTCGATTATTCAGGAGAGGTGCTAGCTATGCAAGATTTTCGAGGCGCGACATCACGGTCGCCCACCTACCCCCCCCCCGCTCGGAGTTACTCCTCTGCAACTCAAAATCTGGTGGCAGGTTAGGAAAAGGGAGATTTCGGCGGGAAAATGCTACAGATAAGATTGTCGATGTCGCGAAGGTGAGTCAATCTGCTCCGCCCCGGAAACCGATTGCGGTGACGAAACGTTCAGAGCGCTAGCCACATCAATAACTGTTGGCCTAGCTCGGGCTCCTATCGCCCTCCACAGTGGAGTCTACTCCAGGAAGAGACGAGCTGATCCTCTCTTGATCGACCAATCGCATGAGAATGATCCCAACATGGAATCCGGCAAAGCTGCGCGACTCCTAATTCGAAAATCCCGCCGACTATCACAGCGTAGTCTGCTTCCCGGGATGAGCAAGTAGTAATGCTGCGGCCCTGCCGCGGCTATTATGGTATGGTCATTGCCTATGTGTTGTTTATTGCTGCTGCTGACTGCTGCTGCTGAGACGACGGAGAATGAATGTTAGAGAAAAATTCTCCGTGTCCAACTGGAACCAGTGACACATCGGACACGTTCCACCGATTTCAAACGACTTCGACATTCGCCGCATACCTAGAATGATTGTCTGCTGTTCTTTGCCTTGCGGCTGCCCTGCTGCAAGACACTGAGAGCGGCAGCTGGACGGGGACGCAGAAAGTTAGTTTCATCACTGGACCTTCTACACTCGAACCATCCCGCTTAGCTCGACCGTGATTCATGGTCGCTGTTGTGCTTGCAGGATTAAAGGGAGATTAGCTAGCGGCACTCAAGCCTACCATCGCAGATACATCTTTGAGGAAACATGGCACGGGAACCAGTGATTCTCAATGTTTACGATATGGTAAGTCAGCATCCTCGGAATTCCCGAATATGGGACCGCATATGAAGGAGTCGAGAGCAAAATCAAGGATTCGACGGGTCTGCTTCAGATCGAGTAGCATCTGTTCGCAGGCCGACATCTGTCACGGAAGTCTGTAGTAGGTTACCTGAGCCATCGCTGAAAGCATGTCCTGATTCCACTCCCTCCCCCGCCATCGTTCTTCCTACTTGATTCATCGGTGCTTCTTGTTAGTGAGAGGTCATGCCTTCGCCGAACGAAGACCGCGAAATTCGACCTCGTTTCTTGACTTCACCTGCGACATCTATGGTTTAGATGCTTGATTCCGGGATTCTGATGTTTCTCGGCATGACTCCCATTCGGAAAATCGAGGACTGGCTTGCTGGTAGTCGGGGGAGGAAACGATGTCGTCGAACAATATCTTCCTTCGTAGGAACTCATGCATAGCAGGCGACTCCGATTGCTCGAAGAGGGTGTCGACAGGAGCCGCGTTCCCGATTATCGCTGGATGGAGAAAACGGCAATTTCGCGCGGTAGAGCCCGCAGACAGTTTCCTCTCAAGAACCCTCCGGGATATAATCCATGACTTATCGTTGGGTGTTCGTTCATTCTCGAATTATCCATTGCATAACTCTGAGGATCGAGGATCTATTCGATTTCGATCAGAGCGCGGAAGCGTCGTAAGCTTGGTCATTTTCCGAGAATTCCGGATTCCACGAAGGAATTCCTTCTCTCGATCGAAGATCGATTCCAAAATCCGATCCGGGATGGAATTCCACAAACTCTATACCTTACATGGTTGCGGGTCTGAATGCGCCTGAATTGAACGGATGAGCATACTATAGCGTCAGATCGAAAAAAACCCTCAAGTCATTATTCTTAATTTGATTTTCCAGTACTGGACGAACGAATGGACGTCCCATCTCGGCGTCGGAGTTTTCCACTCAGGAGTGGAAGTTTACGGGACGGAATACGCTTACGGAGGTCATCCGTTCCAGTTTACCGGCATTTTTGAGATTATCCCGAAGTTTGCGGAAGAGCTAGGCGATAACTTCAAGTATAAGTGAGTCTCTACAGTGTTTTGCCAGAAGGCGCAGTTTCCCGCTGGCGGTTATGGACAAGAAGGAGGCATCCGATTGATGGTTGAAAAATCGTGATCACTCGATCCCACAACCGATTCCGAGAATTCAATATTCATTTCCGAATCGCAGGACATCGATTGTACTGGGACAGACTGACTTCACGGAAGGCGAAGTACGAAACCTGGTTGAGAGTATGGGGGACGATTTCCGGGGCGATCTCTACCACCTGATGAATAAAAACTGCAATCACTTCACAGGGGATCTCGGCAAGGTAACTTAGAATCTCCGCTCTACCCATGCAGGAAGATTCCGCCCCTTCTTGCCATAGAAACTCAATCATTCTCTGTTCTAGATTCTCTGTGGGGGCGAAATTCCCTCTTGGGTTAACCGGTTAGCGTACATCAGCTCGAAAGTGCCGTTTCTTCAAAGGTGTATCCCTAAAGAATGGTTGACACCCGTAGCACTGCAGCAAAGTTTAGATAGTCACCAGGAAGGTGAGTTCCCGAGACGATATCGATCGTAATATGAAGCCTGGGGTTCTCTTGACCACTCAGCGGAATTTAATTCAGTGATGTGATCTCTCCTTTCAACAGGCTCGAACACGCCGCTTCATCCGACAACGCGAAGTCGGACATCTAGTTTCACCAATTCCCGAGACTCGGGCTTGCCTGCTTCGCCACCTTCATTGCCACAACCGGCGCCGAATGAACGGCGTATCTAGTATCTCATTCGGGAACACAGCATGTATTTTACGACAAGGCCACAAAAACGTGCGATGAATCGCGAGCGGCATCGTCACCTCAATCTTGTTGGAACATTGGAGCAGCAGCGGATTCGGGTCCTTATTTGCAAGAGCGATCGCACACCTTGTGATAAAACAGACGAATGACCCATTTATTATCAATCTCAATTATCATCATCACCAGTTACCTGGGAGCACGGTACGCGGAAAAATCATCGCGATGAATCCCATCTGTATTCTGTTGCTCCGTTCTTCGGTCTAGGTCGAACACGCGGCTTCCCTGCGCCTAAAAATCAACTCAACATCCGCGCGTAAACTTCGTGTAGCTCTCTTACGAAGCATTCTTCATTGATCGGATCGACCGTAATGTTATGGTATGTGCCGGTCATAGCTTGCTTGTAACATCGATGCCGCATGCTACTTTCAAGTAACGACTGTTATTTCTATTAATATTATTATTATCATCGAGTAATGAGTGAAATGTGATAAATATATATTATGAGTCGATTCCGGTCCTTTCTCTTTAGGATCTACCTCTCGGAATCAGACGGATATCCGACACCAGAGGTCGATTATGTGTTAGAGAGCTTCGGATTTGATGATTGATGATGCTCTCAGTATCTGCGAGATCGCTATCAACTCGCATGCCCATGCAATTTTGCAACCAGAAGTGAGAGGCATGCCCGGTAGCCCACACTGATACGGCGTGCTTTTTCTGGGAGAGCTAATATAATAAAACGCAGCAGGAGCGAGGACCAAGACGCGTGTTCCCGGGACGTGTTTGAGGGGGTCCTGGAGTCCTCGGATTATCTATTTTTCTGCGGCAACATAAGAGTGTGTTCTCCGAAAGCGAAATTCAATAGCTGCTGAAGCGCGAGAACATGGACCTCTCCCGGTCTCCCGCAGAGTATAAGTACCTATTCGAACAAACTCGGAGCTCGGGATCCTAATTCCTTTAGACGGCGTTTTCGTACCGAAAACTCGATGGGCTTTTCAAAGTCAGAAGTCAGTCATGAGGGAGAAATCGAGGAATACTTCCTTCTGATACTCACCGGTCTTGCAAACGCTGTCTTAAGAAATCGGATTATAGCTCGCGCTCCCGACATTGGCGAGAGGAGGATCCTCGCCGACAGAGCTTCCGGAATTGGGATTTTGATTTTGAGTCTGCGACGCTGCGGTAGGACTCAAGCTCTGTGAATGGAGGAGGAAGCTTTCCGGAGGCGGAAATAGAGGAAACTCAAATGCGAGCAACATCGGGCTCAATCAGGGGGATCGTGCATCGGTGGAGGTGCATTCAAGAAGAAATAATTGTTGAGGATAGCTTATGTATCGTTCTTTCTGTGTACTTCTCGTTTGCTAGTGATCTCCGCCCCAGACTAGCCATTTCTCCGGCCCAGAGCACAGGGATCGGAATTGCGAGCTGCAACAAACATCAATACGATTGGACCCCTTATGTAGAATTCAGACCGCTGAAGGCTCAGCGCGCTCTCAAATTTGAAATTCCGCGCCCAGCTCGGCTGTCTGCTTCCCCTTCGAGCAAGTCAGGCAGCCGCCATCTTAAGCACTGCCTTGTGGCCTCGACTCCTCGAGCAATCGGCGAGACCAAGCCTGTATTACGAGCCACAGCCAAACATCGCGTTCGCGACAAGCATCCTGCGTTCCGAAATCCCTCCATCCCGTCCATCCCTGCTGGACTCGCGAGAATGGCGTCATCGAAGAGCGCGAACACCTACAATAGATTGAACTGGGAGGATGCTGAGTTTCCCATCCTGTGTCAGACCTGTCTGGGAGAGAATCCTCTTATTCGAATGGTAAGCAGAACTCGAACGCTACTTCAGCGATGAGCGGGGAAAACTCCCGCTTCGTGAGCTTATAATTATGCGGGATCTCCGTTTACAGATGAAGGATCGCTACGGCAAGGAATGCAAAATCTGCGCCCGACCTTTCACAGTATTCCGTTGGTGCCCTGGACCGAAAAGCCGCTTCAAGAAAACTGAGGTAAGCAGCCTCGGCAAACTTTTGCGGTGATACAGGAGCGTTGTTTTCCCGGAGTTCACTCACTCAGCCCCACCCTCAGGTCTGCCAAACTTGCGCAAAACTGAAGAACGTTTGCCAAACTTGCCTGCTCGACCTGGATTATGGACTCCCCGTCCAAGTTCGTGATCAAGCTCTGAATATCAAAGATGAGATACCGAAAAGCGACGTCAACAGAGAATATTATCAGCAGGTTAGTTCTCTCACCTCCATTACTTCAATGTCTATGCTATAATTTTGAGAGAACGGAAGCCTGATACCCCGAATTCGATCTGGGATCGTCGAGTGTCTGCCCGTAGTGGGATCTCGAGGCCTGGGGGGGCTCCGGGTACTTCCGAGGGCCTCTGCGATCTGATGAATTGACTCGAGCGATGAATACGCTTCCAGAACGTCGAAGCCACAGTTGCCGTGGGCGACCCGAGTCGTCCGTACGGACAGCTCGCGAAGGCTCAAGCGCCAAGCGATGTCCTGGCAAAAATGGCTCGATCTACTCCGTATTACAAGCGAAATCGACCTCATATATGCTCCTTCTGGGTCAAAGGCGAGTGTAAACGAGGCGACGAATGCCCGTATCGGCATGAGAAACCGACAGATCCGGACGACCCATTGGCGGATCAGAATATCAAGGATCGTTATTACGGAACCAATGATCCTGTGGCCCACAAACTGATGCAGAGGGCCCAAACTATGCCCAAAATTGAGCCGCCTGCGGACAAGAACATAACGACATTGTACCTCGGAGGTGTACCGAAAGAAACGACCGATCAAGACATCAGGAACCATTTCTATCAGTTCGGAGAAATTCGGGCGATCAATATTGTGGAAAAACAAAGTTGTGCCTTCATATGCTTCATGACGAGAGCGTCGGCGCAGCTCGCCGCCGAGCGAAGCTTCAACAAGCTCTTTCTCCATGGTCGTCGCATCAATGTGAAATGGGGCCGGAGTCCAGCCTTGGTCTCTTCGCGTGATGAACCATCGACCAGTGGAGCATCGATGTACAACTCCGGAGGCGAAGTCGCTGCCCTAGCCCCACCCCCATTCCCGCCAGGAATGCTGCCCCCGCCAGGGCTGAATCAACTTTATTATCCGAGTATGGATCCCGGGAGGATGGGGACATTCAATTAAGATCCATTTTGGCATTCTTGTGTAAAATAAATATTCCTGTATATAGCGTAAAGTCCGATAGGGTAGTCAATCCATCAAACCATCAAACGACGCCTCAATCGAAGCCAGATGCGGGCCTCGTGGGCTTTTGTGGACGGCATAGGTTTGCGGAAGTACGAGCGACTGTTCGTTTCCAATAGATTGGAAAATACCAAAAAATTTTCGGTTTCCCGGGAATCTCTGTCCGGGGAACGTTTCCGCTAGTCTTGCGACATCCAATTTTCTTCGGCTGCATCCTCGGCAGCTTGAGATCACCGGATGCTTGAAGACCTGGATACAGCGATTGTGACCATGAACACGGGATCGCAAGCGGGACAGAGTTCCGAAAGAGCATGGAATTAGGATCACCTGAGATCAAATGACCCCAGATCGCATAACATTAGCGGCAGTGGAGGCTCGAACATGTTAGAGGGACTCTCGCTAATGTGCCGTCGCGTCGGGAGGCGACTCGGCCAATCCTTTCACTGACGCACATCCACGAGCGCAAGAGAGAGATATCCGAGAGAGGCATGATCCACAACGATTATCATAGGAACACACATCGACCTTCGAATCTCTAAACGGTGCCATAATTTGACCAATATGAGCGCGGAGTCAATATTAGCCTGCGGTCTCGGTAAGACCGGGAGACTTCGGAAAGGAATGGCAGCCCCCATATCTCCGCTTCGGGGCTGCCAAGTTCACGAGCAGCTCCCGAAGCATGCTTGTCTAATCGAGAGGACCGTTATTTAGCGCAGAAGTTGTTCCCCTCGATCCTCGATGACAGTCCCATCGATCCCTGATTCTGGAGATGAACAGGTCCGTTCATTCCGCAATATCAGTGATAAGTCCAAGAAAGAATTTCCATTCATAACATACGTTTATTAGGTGACAATTCTCCGAGGACACTCCTTATACGAGACAGAAAAAAGGGGTCCCTCAACAATGCGTATTGTGTACGTGTCCGGTATCTGATCCGAGATTCCCCACTGGTGCCGAAGGTGATAACCATTACGGTGATTCGGTTTACTTTGACGTGTTCTCAAGTTTGCTCATTACATACATATATATATTAACAACATTATATTATCGCTTGTTCAGTCGAAGGAAGTTCAATATGTACAACGCGCAGTCGCGGCTGGCTAAACGGCATGGTCAAAATTGCCCCAACCGAGGAGTATACAACTTTACAAGTCGTATATACAGTGAAGAACGGAGCTCCTTGTTCACGGAACGGCTTCTTCGAACCCTTTAGGGTGCTATTATTTTTTTGTTGCTGTTTATTTGTTCAGGAAAGATGGGGGACAAAACTTGTTCCATCGGATTTTCCGCTTGTGACTCGGCGATTCGATTGAGTTCAGCCTGATGCATTTGAGTATTGTGAGCGCGATCTCAGAATTAACGAGAATGTGTGGATGGGTGCGGAACCTACTAAATGAGTTCCCCATCGGATTCTAGACCTCAAGTCTGTGATTCCGAGACCGGAATCGAAAGCCTCTCTCAATCAGCCATTCGATCCGTCTCCTTATTGAAGAACATATCACAAGCCGATGTTTCACCTTCGCCTCGCGGTCAGCCGTTTCTTCCTTCTATTCTGGTCGTTCGACACAATCACTAATCAATATACTATTCTAGCCGGTGGGGACACGTTGAAAAGTGAGTAACTCGAGTTGGCTCCATCAGGTCGCGAATGTTGCTTCAGCTCCCCTTGATTTCGTTGTCATTAGTGAGGGTCGATGGCATTTGTCCTGGATGCATTTGTACGATTCGGTTGGAGCGATGAGTTTTGTACGACGCGTCGGTGTGGATTTGCTGAGTTCGAACCTTTCATCGGTTCTCGTTTCATACTGCCGACACTTGTGTATCTTCCTCTGCAACACAGGAATGAGCTGTAATGAGAAGTATACTTGCGAGGAATCTTCCAAGTTCCCCATTTATGTACTCGAAGCACGCCCAGAACGCGCTCCTCGCGGAAGTCATGCGCAGCTTCCCCGGAGGGAAACGGTCCGGATCGGATGACTCACCCTCGTTGCTCATTGAAATGTAGCCTGGTCCATTTACAGTTTCGTGGCTCCTTGACCTCTGGAGTCGCGTTTGGCCCATGACCGTGATTCCTCCAATTAATGTATTGCAGACCCTCTCTGGTGGGGGCCGTTGGGGCGCAAACTGCTTCACAGCGCAGCTCCTCCCGCTTCCGCCTGGTATGCAAACAGAGAGTTCGTGAGGTAAACCTCTTTTCGATCGCCCTCAAGCCGCTCCCATCAGATGCCGGAGCCGAGAGACTCTATGAGCATGCTCCGTCTTGCTGTTTCGAAAAGCCGAGCGTCGTTGAGCACTGTTAGGTGGCCAATTGAAAAAGCGGTTGGCGTCGAGCTTCGCCCGTTAGGGATGAGGAACCAGCCAAAGCGACTCGAGCCCCGAATTACGAGAAGAGTTGCCCATTGTCGCCAGCGACGAGGTCAACTCATTCTAGAGAGCGTCCCGCGAGCTTCGACATTGACAGCGAACATCTATACAAGTATTCGAATTTTCTCGAGGTATATCATTGTGACTCATGTTACCTTTATCTCTGTTCCCAGAAAGAGAACAGTTTTTTCTGTTTGATATCGATGGTGGCAAAGGAGGTAAAACCGCAATTGCGTGAGAGAACGGAGGCGGCCTGTGGCCCTGATTGAAGAATCTCGCTGGATTGTAATGATGACCGATGGTGTGATAACCATTGAACACAGAGCTTTGATAAAGTTCGTGCGACGATGATATATGCCCAACATCATTGAGTGAATCTGTTAGAGTTAGAAAAACGAATACACCCTGTTTGTCAATGATGCAAATAAGTGGTTAAGCGGATATATGATGATGATGATGATTCTGATTGGATTAGGATTACTGTATTACAATGATTATAAGGATCATGATATTCAGGATACGCTAGGTAGACTGGTGACCGCAATCGCCTCGGACTGGCGGGTGCTGCAGTCAACTCGCAGCCACATAAGCACAGAGATCAGCGAGTCCAGACAGGATCCGCACACAAAGACAAAACGACACAGCCTAATGAGACTACTGAACAGAGCTCATGCAAATTCAAGTCAAGACAAATCAGCAGAATCACTGAATGGCAAGCAACATGCCCCTCGAGTAAGGTGCTCCTCCAGCAGAATATTAATCAGAAGAAATCTATTCGAACAAGTGCGCCTTGCCTATGTGAGAGTTTGTTGAAGAACAGGAACTCGGACCCATGCCGCTGTCGATCGAATTCATTGAACAAACTGCAACGGCAACATCCATCAATGCACTCTGAATGTCGAGAAGGAATGGTGGCGCGCAGAGCTCAACCGGTGCGTCAAGGAGGAACGGATCGCGAAATAATATTCTCACCTGACGCATGATCTCTCCGAAGACTTGTGACGCTCGAACTTTCGGGAGACAAGTGTAAGCCTTTCGTCAGAGGGTCGCAAGGAGCACGGTTGAGAAAAGGTAGATTACTCTCGGTGCTCCCCTTCCGCATAGAAGAGGGACTAGGTGAAATGGAATTCGTCGAGATGCCGCTCCCTGACCTTCCACTCTGCGGACGGACCTGTTGGGGGAGAGCGTGGTTTTATACTCGCAGATTCGGAAATTGGAAGATTTGAGGAGGCGAGGCTTATTGTGCAAGGAAGAAGAGAGTTCTAACCTTCGGCACGCCTTCCGATAACGCCAATAGCTTCCTCATTGCTTGAGGGGAATCGGTACCGAATTTCGGTCCGAGACTCTTCTTTCCCTCGGAGGTACTGCTCGCCAGCGACGTTGTCGACGTTGTACTGAGCGTTGGCGAGGGATGCCGTTTTCGAATGGTCGGCTGAGCATTGGGCGCAGTTCCTCTTGAAGTTGGGTTCGTCGAAGAGCCGTTATTGCCACTGCTAGCGGGGGCGGCACCAGCGCCGCCGGCGGAAGAGGTTCCTCCGCTGCCGCTCGTCGAGCTCTGCGGCGTGCTGGACATATTTTGGCCGACCACCGGTGGCTCACAAGTCGTGCTCAGTTCGAGGAGTTTATCCTCGTCGGTGATGACCTTCAGGCCGGAGAAATAGGCTTTCACTCGTCGGACCATTTGGGCTTCCTCGTACATTTTCTTTGGATTGGGACCAGCGGACGATTTCTTCCGCGCAGGTCGATGTTTCGGAAGTTCGACGGCTTGGGACGAAATCGCTAGTCCCACAGCCGAGACGGAGGATTCTTTCTGTTGCGAGAGGAAGTTATTGGACGACGACGACGCCAGCGATGGGAACACATAAGGCTGCGAACACATATTCATGAGCGTGCGAACTTCTTTCGAAACCATGCGGAGCTTCTCGAAGTTCACCAGGCCATCGACGAGCGTGTCGTTTCCAAAGTGGATGAAAGACAAATCCTTGTGCACAACTGGGTAGAACGGTATCAGGGGCGGATGCAGTCGCGTCACCAAAGTTCTGTAGCGGCACATGTTTCGCGACGGGTCCATCAACTCTTGAAGATCTTGGAAAATCCTATGGTATTTCGATGGCAATTTATCCCACGTGTTCTTGAGTCGAGAAACCGCCTGATGGCCGAGTCCACTAAGAATGGCGAACATCGAGTTGAAATTTTTGAACTCTCGAAAATACCTCGCCAGTTTTATGAATTGCTTCACTGTGCGCATCCGTCTCACGACGTTCGGCTCAGAGACGATCTGTGTGACCACCCAAAACATTTCTCTGTTCACCAGGTCGGCGAACTTCGAGAGCATCGGAGCTCCGTAACGGCTCTGGAAAACTCGGAACAGGTCGTCCACGTACTCCGTAGGCTCTATCTGTTGGAATATTTCGAAGTCTTTCAGCGTCAATTGAGCAGCGACTTCGCCGCTGTTGAGTTGTAGGAACGAGACATGGCTCTCGCGAAGCAGCTCGCCCGCTAGATGATCTGGCACCAGAGTTTCTTGACTATTGTTGTTCTTGAGATAGTAGCGACTACGGAGTTCCATTCTCTCGGAGAGGTTCTGCATCTGGTCCGGTAGTCGTCGTTGCTTCACCAGACCGCCCTCGCCCACGGTGACTTCACACAACGAGTAAAATGAACTCGAATCCGTGATACCGAACCCACGGAGGGTCAGCATGACGACCTCCCGAGCAGTCGTTTCTTTATGGATCACGAGGAATTTCGACGTCTGATCGGCCCGATATACTTTCAGAACGTGTTCCGGGAAATCCGGGGTCCTCGCCGGCTGTTCGGTCACGTCGTAGTACAACAGCGTCGACGAAAGATCTGGATTCGAATGACTGTGGTACATCGACGGACCGGTCTTCCCGCCGATTTGTAGTCCACCGAATAGCGAATCGTCGCTCCCATGGGCAGTCGACGTGTCCATGGAGGCAGTTTTCGACATGATCTTCGCGAAAGTCTTCTTCAATTTCGTACGATTACCTGCGAGGGAAAGGAAAATGTATTAGAGAAGTCTCTCTCCCCTTTGAAGGGATCGAATCACGTTTCCTCGGGGTACGATATAGTATTCTATGGCCAGAAGCGTCACTCACCCAGTGTCATAAAACCTTTCTTCGACGACTTGGAGTCGATGGATTTCTCTGACAACATTGAACAGTTTTGTTGATTGCCGCACTTATCGTAAGCATCGTAGACGTCGTTCACGCCATACTGGTGATTACTGTTGTTATTGTTGTTGTTGCTGACGGTGATAATGTTGTTGTTGCTGCTGCTATTATTGTTGTTAATAATGTTGTTGTTGTTATTCCGGACATTGTTGGTACTCCCCCCGCTATTGATCCCGATGCTCGCGCCACCGCTGCTGTTGTTGCCTACGCCAACTATGCCGCCGCCACCACAACCGCTCAAGAGAGAACGCTCCGAGATGAGAGATTTCCTGTTCTGCCGAGCCTTGCTTCCTCGATTAGGGTTGGTCGTCATTTCTTTCAGACCCATAAGGTTCGAACGGACAGAAATCTGCAGATGGGTGCTCTTCTTGAATAAGTCCAAGGCTTTCGAGTGTGACATGTTGGTGAAACTCTGTCCGTTGACCTCGAGAATTTGGTCACCACGTTTGAGTCCGACTTCTTGAGCCTTTGAAGATCGCTCCACTTTTGAAATGAATATGTCGAATCCTGTCTCGTATCCTCCGACGATCTGAAATTGGAGTGCCTCCTCGCGGTTTGGCCTCGCTAGCGTGATGCTGCGTGTTCGAGCTTTGGTTGCGCAAGCAATATTCAGAAGACGCATTTGTGCGAATTTCTTGCATTCTTCCAATCTTTGCTCAAAATCCTGCAGTGGAAAGAGGTGGTAATGAACTAAGATTCTACCCACCACGAAGCGGCCGATACTGTACGCTCGTAGTCCCCATGAGAATCGGCGATAATTTCGCAACTCACCTCAAGAAACTCCATCATATCTGGATCGGTCTCGAAGTCGGTAAAGTGATTATTCACCCACAGGAGAACCACTCGAATTACTCGGTCCCTCCACTTTTCATCTTGGAACCAATCGAGCATCTGTCGTGTGATCTCGGTGGGACTCTCCAGAAACGTTCGATGCGTGAGAAGGAAGTCTTCAATGTATCCCGGATCGAGAAGATTCTCATCGAGTAATTGTGCCAGAAGACGTTCAGGGGTGCCTCTGATAACTACGTGGCCGCGTCTCGTTCCGCCATCGAGTACTCGATGCTCGGTAACCAGAACAACACGGCCGTTCTCCTCAAGTTTCCGCGTGTTCTCCTCCCCTTGGTGAAGAATGCGGTAGTACTCCGATTGAGCAATGCAAACGAACTGGCAGTCATCCATTTTCGTTCGCATCGTGCCAACGTGATGCATTTTCTCCATCGTGGGGGTTATGCCGAAACTACGGGATGGATCGCACATTAGATAAGATCCCGATCTAAATTGATTCGATGACCCTCAATTATATTGTTATCGACTCGTCGACATCGCGAGTGATTTCACTCGGATTCACTTTATACCTGTCGCCGAGATAAAGGTCCTGTATCGTTCCGTCGGGCAGCTCCACTTCAACCATGCCGTTCACAATGACACTCCACGAATCGAGCTCTTCGCCATGGTTCATGACAACGGTTCCAGCTTTTTCAACCACAGCAAAAACCATCACGGCACACAATTCTCGTCGGACACTCAGCGTCATATTGGCGAAAGCTGGCAGATGCTGCATAAACTCGAGCAGCGTCTCGATATCTTCCTCCATGCGGTCGTTGGGGTCTTTTTCCAAGCATTCACGATACGTATCACGGACAGTGAGGCACTGCAAACAATGCTCGGAAATATTAACGCACTCCACGAGAAACATTCAAGATATCGGCCACCGCATTTATGTACAATGATCGATGATCGATCCGGGGCTCGAGAAGAGGGGAGAAGCTCTCGGGGATCTCGCAAGAGGTGGGCGAGAGATTCGATGAGACGAATCAGGACGATACAGGTGCACTGTTAAAGGTCGGTATAGGTAAGAACAGCAACGTATAAAAATAACTCTAACCTCCATGTGGGGCTCGACGTCGTCTTCATCATCGGAGTCGCCCGTGCTCTCCGGATGCCCAACTCCGACCAACTCGGGATCGTCTAGAGAGCTCTGGATGGAATGCATAGTGTCCGAGCCCGAATACGCGGATGAAGTGTCTGAAGACCTCGAAGACCGATTCGATTTCAAGAGCAGAGGGTGCTGAGGTGCTGCACAATGATTGTTGACACCGCCCAATGCACAATTGGCATAGTCCATCGGGTACTGTAACGTTGGGAGGAGTCGTTGAAATCATCATTTTCGGATAGAGTGCTCTCTAACGTCCCGAAATCATCCTTGCATGCGAAAGTTCGGAATATGTTGTCCATCTCACCTGTCTGTTCGGGAAATGTGCTTGACTCGACCTGTGGCTACCGGTGGCTTCGTCGAACGCCGCGTCGCATGACTGCAGTTGCTCCCTATGTGCCATACTCCGTTCAATTGTTGCGCTCGCAGTCAGGTTCAAGAGTCCAATCCTTTCAGATGCTCCAATGGATTTTAGGAATTCACAAATGCATAGGTGATCCGACTCAAACCTCTCATCACAGTCCTTGGAGAGATGCAACTGTAACGAGTGCGAGCTACCGTGAGAAAGTAGATTGGTTGAGGTCGCCCAAGTCCACGCAGGCCACGGAAAAATCTCAGCGCCGAGCATTCTCACGCCGGAATAGATCTGTCGCCATCGGTGGTTTCCCACCGACTCCGGCTTAGACCAGACTGGTTTTGGTCTTGTGATCCATCTAACGGCCAACGCGACGGGAAGCATGACAGCGAGAGTCGGGAAATCAATTTCTCCTCTACAATCTCCTGGCTCCCAAACTCTGCGGGTACGCTCAAGGAAATGTAGAGAACCGTGTTCATTCCTCATCTCGAATTCCTCGGTATTTCTGGATACCCGAACTGTGCGGAGTCGATTCCGGAGTTAATTCTATTGACGGGGCGGGAATCACTCGAACAAACGCGGATGAATTATCGCCGATAAAACTCGAGCAGGGGGCTACTTTCGGGTTCGACAGCTTCCGTCCAGTATATGTCGGTTCGACGACAAGCCGTCCGAGGCACAAGCTGAAGAGTGGTCAGCTCTATACCAAAGTGGTATCCAGTTTCATGAAGTCGTTCCATGCTCGTGAAAGGGAATATCGGTTCGTTTACAGTGATCGGCTTCTACAGCTGCCCTCTGGACAGTGTGTGTTCGAGACCGGAACTGAGCCGGATGTCGACTGATTGATTTCACCGGAGCATGTTCGGTCATTTTTCGGGTTCCCGTCACAGAGCGACAGCGATTCCCTCCTACATCAGATGGAAACACGCGACGATGAAAGCAACCTTTTCTCTTGCCATTTACCGATCGCATCACTATAAGCGCTTGGGCGGTCGGGATACGTTCCGTACAGACGCAGGAATTCGATCGTATAATTGTGGAAACCGCTACCACTACCGATTGTATCGCTAGCAATCCGGATCGGGGTGAGCACGGAAAATTATTGAAATGAGAACTTCCGATGCGGCTTCGGTTCTGATTTGGCAGAAGCTAAGAGCGTGAATAAATTTCTGAGGCCGTCGGAGATCGATTCCCGACGGGGCGGATAAGTCAATTCCCCCTTCAAGTCGAGATAAATTTTCTTCAACCACCGCGGTCACTTGACATATGATATATATTCAAGAATGTAGAGCGATGTTTTGCTCAACAAGGTTTCGGAATTCCGACCAAGAATGCGAGTTTGAGGTAAGGCTCATCAGCTGAATGATGGGAACGTGTTCAGAGCGTGAACAGACGAGCGACGCGGACATCCCGCACAAATCGAAGCAAGTTGGAAACTTTCGAAGGCTGATCTGATTCTCAGAATAATAAGGGAGCCAAATTCCTCTCGACTATATTAGGGAAACTCTCAGGGAATGAATCAGTGCCGTTTCATGGGGCAAAGCTTGTTCCAGAACCGAAGAAAGGGGACCAACGGACGCGAAGCTCAGACGGAATTGTCGTCATGCCATTTGACACGGCCACTCACACAAGCGCAGAGACAGACAGACGTTCACCGAGAATGGCACCGAATCGAAGCGTCCCCGGCTAGGCGTCAACGTCTCAGTTCCGTTTGGCTAGACGAGTTCGGAGCGATGTCCCTTCGGAAAGCCTCATCGAACCAGCTCAGAAATCATTCGAAAATAAGTAGAACAATTCAAATTCTCAAACATACCTGTTGCTCCGGTCGGACATTTTGGCAATCCTCACAAACCACACATGATCGGGGGCCGTCGGACTATTTCTTGGCAAGTTTTCTCGACTGCATCACTGTGAATCAATAAAGCTAATTGAGTTTCCCGAAGGAAGCGCACGAAGCACAAGCAGAACACAACGCACTCCGGAGTTCTATGAGTACCTGTCCGAGTAAAGTGTACCAGATTCCGCTGCTTGGTATTGGTGCACACACCACAAAAACATCATGGCTGCCCAAACAACTACTCACTAGAGGGAGCTGCGATCGACTTCCCTCTTCGGCTCATGATCCGAGATCCGACGTCGTGTTTTATCCCCAGATTCTTTCTGCAAACGAAGCGGGAAATCAGGTTTCCCAGGCATACGAATTATATTTCGGGAACTTCAAGGAAAGGTGACATCGGCTCCTGGAGCTCCCGTGACACGGTGAATCTCAGAAATTGATATCCGGAGTCGTGAACCCGCCCGGAAGTTGTCAGAACTCCTTCGCGCATCGAGGCAGAACTTGAGCGGCTGGAAATTTCAGCGCTCTGCTTGCAGGATCCTCTCGTATCGTGGGGACCAGCGCTCGCAGCGACCATTCGGAGTGTGAGAGCACTCGTCTTGAGAATAAAGAGGATCCTATTGGGCGGGAAATCCGCGCTCTGCAATCCGACGGTGCCTTCAGGTGCAGCCAGAAACGGGGAAAATTCAATCCCCGGGCTGTGAATCGATCATTCTTATCTTAATCTCTAAACTTGGAGGGGGAACGTGTCATAATTTGGATCGGTTATCGGTTGGTGTGGGTTCCGGGATCGGAGAAAATGATGATGCTGATCTCTGCTTAGCACGAAGTGGGATCACACTGGTGCTCCGGGCCTCACTGGCTCCTGTTGAATTGTTTCTATCAGGAAGGATAGGACCTCGATGGAGAAAATTAAAACACTCAAGAATTTCAAAAATGGTGTCATCAGAGATTAGTGTACCTATGCTCCAGTCCTTGATCCGTTGAGAACTCGTTTTTTACCGAGATCATTCCGACTGATGACGACGAGCAGCCCATGAGAGGTCGATGGTTTTCCGCAGGGCTCCTCCCGCGCCATGGGCTCGGACCAGGCTTCGGGACCAATCAGCTTTGTATGACGGGCGGCGGTTCCTGGCCGTTTGAAGAATATCGCTGTTTGACAGCTTTGATTCGAAGGGGGAGCTAGGACGAAAAGAAACCCATCGGAATCGTGCTCGACTTGCTTTTGGATGAATGGGTTCATAGGAGAGGTATTTCAGGCTCCCCAGACCTGGTCAATTCAATGTTTCGGCCTCTTGAAGGAGTCAGCGATCAGGGTCGGAACTCCGGATCGCACTCCGAGGTGCCTCTGGCTCTTGGCGATGAACTTACTCTGGATCGGCGCGGATCTTCATCATCAGCGCTCGAATCAGCCACATGTTCAAGTATCGGGCGCGGGACTGTCAATAGCCGTCGTCCTTCCCAACCAGTCGGTGAATTCGGGTATCGAATATGGTCAGGAAGAACGCACAGTGGCTTTCTGTTCATCCGAGGCGGGCGCGGCGAAAAGAGGCGCGACGATCGACAGGATTCGAACAGCTGATCGCCGGGTTCACCCAGTAACTCAGATCGAGAGACCCGATTCCAGATCACGCGCGGAGCGAATCATCCTCTGAGCCGATCCCGATTCTCCGCCCTTACAGGTCGAACGCAGGTTACATCCACTCTTGGATTTTCCGATTTCATATCAGTCAGAGAACGGAAATGAATTAAGCGCGGCGGCATCAGAGCAAGTTCAGCGAGCACTTCACCGAAAGCCCTCAGAGCAAACCGTCCTCACTGACCAACTGAGCATCATAATACCGATCCCGTCGATACGAGAGGGAAATTTGTGTTTCACGAGAAATTCTTCTCTGGCAGCTGACAGAAAGCGACCTCTACCGGAGCTGGCGGCTGTTACAAAATAAGATGGCTGCTCCCGTGTCTTGAGAGAAAAGTTGTCTTGAACATATTCCGGCGCTTACCGCTGTAGCCTCATGTAGGATTTCTCCATGTGAACCTCATTCCAAGAGAGTGAGTAAGACTCTGGGCAAACGTTCGCGGATCGAGCGGCCCGCAACGAAATTTCGGGACGACTAAATCTATTCAAACTGTTCAGTGTGCGACTAAGGGCATACTTCACCGGCAGCTCTGCTCATCAGCTGTCGTTGTTCGTCGAAGCCCCGACCGATGTCGCGCTCGATCCCGTACCGGGAATAGATCTCTCTTCGCGTACGATTTCCGCTAATCGGCGATTAGTGAGCCAGTCCGAAAGCCGAGGACGATGGTGTTTGAATAGGTACATTGCTTAATTCGCAGGGGTTCACGAGCCAAGTCGCCGACGATGCCTGTGGGTGCATTGGAATTGCTGAGATCTGTCGACGATCCAAACAGTGATCTACAAGACCTCCAATTAGCTGTTCATGAATATCTCCAACAAAGTGAGTTCGCTCGAACCTTCCAGTTGTCGTCCCTTCGTTCTTCTCGCTATACCCGCGAGCAAACTGGTAGCTTCTCATTTACTCTTCGTTCGGAGCCTCTGTACTGCTTCAAAGTGAGATCTGACGAACGCCGAAACCCATGAGTTTGGGGTGAACCCACTCCGAATTTCGAGACATTTTGCATTCCAAAGCGGTCCGCTGCTTTGTAGTACGTGGGTGGCTCTGGGGTAGAACAATTGAGTGCCTGTGAAATCGGGGTGGATCCCGTGTAGCTCGGCGTATCTGAGTATGTCCGCGACTCCGCAGAACTTTCAAGTGGAGACTCTTCGCAACGAATGTCACAACAGACCATTTCGTTTTCCAGACAAGGACAAAGAATTCGTGCATCAGCTCATAGCTCTCTATCTTCGATCAAGATCAGTTCGGGTGCTAACGCTGCTCATCAGTTTACGAGATCCTTTTTACAAATGGATGCTGGACCGCTGCTCGGAGAACATTCGTCAGAATGAAGCGACCATCCGGATCCCGACCTTGAAACTACTTCTGTCCATCGTACAGAAAGATCCGTCGTGGTTACACGACAATCATGTGAGAATTCTCCGGGAAGCGTCCGGAATTATCAAAGAGGGTCAAGACGTCACAGCTTGCTTCGTGTCAATCGTTATCATGGCGTCGATTCTCCCGTTGATTCCCGGCGCTTTCGACAGACGCGCTCTAGAGAGCTTGATGTTCAGAGCTTTCGCCTACGCAGCTGACTTATGCGTGAAACGCAAGGATGATTTCGCCGAACTGAATCGCCAGCATCTATGCAGCGGTCTATACACATTGTACAAAGTGCTATACTCGATGTTCCCCTGTAACTTCTTAGCATTTTTGCGGACGACCTACGGAAGTTCCGATAGGCCCGAATACAAACCCGCTTGGGGTCAAATCATTTGGCCTATGATAAAGCGAACGTATTTCCATCCGTTCCTGGTGCAGTACAACTGCGATAGTGAGACCCACAAAGATCGCTGGAAAGGTCTCCAAAAGCATGACATTATCGCCGACTGTCAGAATTACTTCAGTGATCCGAGAACGGAACGTCAAGTGGAAACGGGACAGCCCAGAGTCGCGGCGAGCAAGCCTTGTAGTATTCCGAAGAGGAACGACTTCATCCAAGACGCGCCATCTTCGGATGGTGTCCTAGGAAAAACACCGAACCTATTGGATGTCATGACTCCTCATCCGCCCAGCGACGTTTCGAGCAGCTTGGGAAGCGTGGATATCGCGGAGGAAGCGAATCCTGAAGAACCTACCAATAGATCCGACTACGAAGGCAGCGGCACGCCTCAAAGACCGAAAAGACACCGCAGATCATCAGTAAATTTAGCACCGATACCAGCCGAGGCTACCGAGGACGAGAGGCTCACTGATGCAGAAGATCATGGATTTTGTTTGACCACTCAAAGGTTGACCCAAGAGCCAACCAACAGTATTTCGGAGCACGCCGAAGTCCAGGTGAGTCGCCGAGCGGGGGGAGCCCGAGCTGTGGAATTGAGAGCCCCCTGACTGAGATTCTGAGAAGTTCGAATTCGGAGCCTCCCCCATGGAGATTAACCCATTCCTTCTATTCCCGAAGGCCGATCCACCGCCGCACAGCGAAATGGAGAGCCTCCTCGCATCGTCAGGGCTCAGACATCGATACATGTCGCAGTGTCAAGCTTCACCTCCACCACCGAACGGCAGTCCTCAGTTCGGGGCGAAATTGACGAGGTCGCGATCCTGCCCCTCAAGTCAGCTACCGATCCACCATGACGATTCTGCCTCGCTATCTGAAACGACGAGCAGCAGTAATGAAGACCTCAGCTCGAAATGTCTGTCACTTAGCCTGTGGCCAAACAGCCCGGAGCCTCGCAAACCGAAAGGTGCCTCTCTCGCGGGGTCCTCAGCCCGGCATACCATCTCGATCCTCGATTCATGAATATGGTGAGGACTGATGGAGACACTGAATAATAGCAATCCACCGATCTACAATTTCAGATATCGACACCCTCGACGAGAAGACGCCAGCCGAGATATTGGAGGACCATATGAAGGCGTGCTCAGTCGTTGTCCTCCGCGAGAACGATCAGCAGAGTTCGAACAGCTTCTCAAGCTCGAAAGAGCAGTCGGCGATCGAAGATTTGCAGAAGAAATTGACTTACACTGAAGCTCATTCCGTCATGCTCTACGTGGAATTAATGTACGATCGGCATCGTAAGGAGATCCATATAGAAAGAAATAGGAGACTTCTGGAGAAAGCCAAGAGAATTATCCAGTTAGAGGAGAAAAACGCGGCCATGGTGAGTTCTGAAGCAGGAAAAATATCAGAGAGTAAATACAACGGGGATCGGCATTCTCTCTGCAATAATTGGAACCTTCTCCGCAGAGTGGTGAAGTCAAAGAGGTTCGCGAAGAATTGATAGCGAAAACGAAGAAAATAGCCGAACTTCAAAAACTGCTCGACGTTAGAAAGGCAGAAATGCAAGAAGAAGTCAGCCGAATCCTCGCCAAAGATTACAGTCAGGCCGAAGAATATAGACGATTGATAAACGAGAAGAACGACGTCATGGTGAAGAACGCCGAGCAGAAATCTTCCCTCGAAGCCGCGAACGCGGTAAGTGATACGGGGTTCAGCTTCATATTCCGTTCTCGATTCCTCCGACAGATATAGAGCGTCAAAGCTCCGGTCATCGAGCTGGAAATTCAAGACTTCTGACGATGTACCTAGAGAGCGGTTTCAATTTGAATTCTCTCCGACGCTCCGCAGGACATAAACACTCTAGGATCCAGCCTCCACGAGGCGAAGCTCCACCTGGACAACGCGAGGTTGAAAGCAGAGGAGCTCATCGCTTACCGAGAGAAGTGTAAACGCCTCGAACAGGAATTGATAACCCTACAAGAAATGTACCAGAGACTTGAGGAGATATCGAGAACGGGAGCGAGCGATTGTGGTCAAGTTTTCAATTCGGACGAATTAGCGAAGGAGCTCAAACGTGAGTCTCGAGGTTTCCCACCTGGGCGCGAAGTTGACATTCGCTGCCGATAAACCTACCGATAAAATACAATTGATCCACAGAATGCAAGGTTCGACTGGAACACCGGAAACAAGAATCCGATGCGGCTTGCGATCGTTACAAAGCAGAACAGGGGAGAGCGGAAAAAGCTGAGAAACAGATCCGGGACATGCGCAAGCATCTCCATCAGGTGGAAATGAACTCAGTCGAGCAGATCAGAGCCAAGGACGACCACATTGTCGCGCTGAGGAAGAGCCATGAGCGTCTCCAAGTCTGTGTTCTACAGCTGCACGGCAAATTGGACGAAGCCGACGCTTTCCAAGATCAAGGTAATCCACGATATGGCGATCGTTTCGACCGAAGGTGCTTGCCGATGCCTCGAGTAAGTGCTTCTGAGAACCAGGAAGATCCTTTTCCAGGCAATCGATATCATGACATGCGGAACGGTCAGGGTAGGGACAGCGCTTCCGTTAATTCTTGAGCCAGAATTTCTTACGAGACCGAATGAATAATGATAAGAGCATTGTCTCACTCATAGGACTGTTGACGACGAATAAAGCATAATGAATTGAAATTGGAGTGAGATTCCGAGCCTTCACTCAACTCGTGACATCCCTCGGAAAGAGATGGCTCAGATCCAAAGATTCCCCCCCCCCCGGTTTCGACCTTCGAAGGGGATTCACACTATCCCGTCGAGATCAAAGTCGATCTCCGAGGGTCTGAAAGATCCGTGGCATGCTCCCCAAGGCTCCAGTCTGACTAGAGCACGATGCCAACAATTATGGATCTGCCTGAGAATGTCCTGGACCTCTCTCAAACCATACAGTTTCGAGTCGCAATGCCGGGTAGCTGAGACAATCGATCTCCGGACGAGTTCGATTCAACGGGGCGACTCTGCTAAGCTGATGGGTCCCTGGGATGAATGAATCTGAGCGTCCATTGGCTCATCTAATAAGGCCGGTGTTCTTGTCTCGTTACCAAGATCGCGGTTGATCCTGCGCATCGAACGAAATTCCTTCGCGACAGGAGAGAGCTTGAAGCATCTTGCTGCGAGGGCTGATATCTGTGTGGATACTAATTCGAGCTGTTCAGTCGGTTCACTCGGTACAATTTTCGCGACAATTTTCGCTGACGGAAGATTGGCGGACCGGAAGTGGAGTCGCAGTTTCTCTCTCAGGACATGACGCATGATCTGCTGCTTGCATACTTCGCCCTTCGAAGCCCCGAGCTGTCACCGCCGTGGCGAGGCTGTCTTCCTCGACGTATACATACTGGCCACAACTCGCTCGCACGGCTTCCAACAACCACCGAAGCCCATCATCGGAGCGACGAGACCCGGATGAAGCCGCCGAGCCCCAGAAAACGCGGCTACGATTCCCGATTGATTGATCTCGCTCAATAAAATGAAAGAAGCGCTTCTACTCTGGATTGAGCACGGCACGATACGGCTCTGGATGTGCTAATGGGAAACTATGGAAAGTTTATCGAGAACCCCGTTTTGTGTGTTGTGGGCTGTCATCGGTTACAGGATGGTCACTGACCGCGTATTCAGTGCCATCGAGTCTGCCGTTCATCGTATTGAGGGCACGTCACCTGCTGTGAGATGCACACCTTCTCTCTTTAGCTCAACATGAAATAAAAGACCGCTTCGGATGATGGTCAAAACTTGTTAGATTTTAAGCCCGTTTTTTTGTTGCCCTGCCAAGTCTCGATCTTTCCTCAGCGTATCGAAGTATGTGGCTCCTAGCTCTGACGATTTCGACCGCTATTTGTTTTTCGATCGCTTTCGACCTACGACAGCATGGTTACGATTCCCAGCACCTGAACAACCAGACAAGTAAGTCGATCTGAAAAGACCGATAGTGTTGCGGTGCAGTCGGCGCTGAAGACGGAACCCGATCGGATAACAGGCTAGGAGACGTTGGGACATCATTTAGATTAGAAGCTCCACACTCTCGCTCTACGATTGTGTTCCTCCCTTGATTCCACGGAATTTCGACGACTACCTGGGAGAGCCTGCGGAGCGAGGACGTATCCTCGATGTGCCTGGAAGTGCGGACGAGCTGGTCCTCAAAATGTCTCCCGCTGAATGGATGCGATCCGGGGCAGTTCGACCAAACACAAAGGATAACCGGATGGTGTTCCCCGCAGATAATTCGAGGGATTGCGAGACAGAAAAACGCATAGAGTTCGAGAATCAGATGAATGTCCTCATCCGAGAAGCTTTACACAATTTCTCCAAGATCATGACGTCTTCCGATCTCGAGAACGACACTCCTGTGCTCGACCCGCTCCGAGTCAGAGACAAAAATGTCACACCAGCTTTTGGCCCTGATGTTTTTGACGTCCATTTCAAGAATATCAAGGTAACCTCTTGAGGGTCATCGACATAAAGATGCTCAGCGATAGAAGTCCGATCGGCGCCGCATTGGAGCGTCAGAGAGATGAGAGGGATCCTCCGAGAGAAGAGGAGTGGGAGCAAATCGCAGGATTCCCCATATGGGAGTGAAGAAGCGTGACGCTTCCTGACAACGAAGAAGTCAACTTTTAACTCCAGCCTCATCGTTCTAGGTCGAGGGGCTCTCCGAATTCCTGGTGAACCAAGTTTCCACGGACATGAAGAACTTCCGGGTGAAACTCTCAGCGATAGCACCAAAAGTGACTTTGAACACATTCTACGCAGTAAGTGAAGGTTCCATTCCAGCGATATCCGAAAATTCCATGTTGTGATGCCCCAATCAAGAACAAAGCTCGGATATCATTGGATGCGGATCTTTTCCAGGTGAACGGTACGCTCTATGATCTGTTCAGTCTTCGCGGGACCGGTTTGGCCAATATCGAATACACCGAAGTCTTCCTGAGAACTGCTCTCTACCTCGACATTGCAGAAAACAAACTGCAGCTAGCATTCGCAGATCAGCCCTACGTGGATTTCTCTTCTGCGCAAGTGAAGGTGTGTCTCTCCGCGGGTCTGGTGCACTATCATTATCATTATTTATTCTCGAGGCGACACAATTAGCAAGCTGTATTCCGCAGGTTAACGGTCGACAGGCGTCGAACCGACGCTACAACGAGTTATCGCATCAAGTGGCGCCCATCGTGTTCTGGGTTTTTGCTGAAGAAGTGGCAACCGCGTTGGAGCCTCATCTTCAGTATTATTTGAACGCACATCTAGCGAAAGTAAGGCTTCCGGACTTTGCTGTCACTCTACGGGACAATATTAGCCTACCAAAGGTTCGCGTCCCGAAACCTATACCTTACAACTATATATCGTCAATGCACTTCACTCCCGTGACGCTGTACTGAGTGGCACAGACCCCCAACTCTGGATGGATTCAACGCTTCATCTGAAGCCTCTCTGTCGTAGGCTATGAATAAACATCCTCGTTTGAGACAGAGAGTGGATTTCCTAACCAATAGATATTACTGTGATTGATGTCGTGACTTTTCGAGGGCGAAGGCTGCTTCCGTGTGTAGGTGGATCGCTGATTCTTCCGGAGCTCTTCCGGTTTCTCTCCGTCTCCGGCTCATCCAACTCCTTTGTGGAGGAAGCGGGGGGGGGAAGATCGATAATAAATAAGATTCGGATGTTGACACTTGAGCAAGTTCATGGGACAACATCCTCGATTTCCAGGCGGTCACACCCAAGATGGTGTTCTCCTTGAAATCTTCACCGGCAAACCCGTCTTCGATCTCAAGACCATCTCGGCCGAAAGTTCTATAGATTCCAACCCGACCATTGATTTGACGCTGAAGTTCCGCAAGAATCTGGATAAAACTACTTTTTCCTCCATCAGCGCAAATCGTTGACCTGGAAGAGCGATGATGAGACAGCTGCTCACCTCATGCGTGAAAATCGAGCAGGAGACGAGACTCGGTGGCGTTAGACTCACCGATGCAGTTTCGCGGTCCTGCCGAAAATGGAACGTATGCGAAAGGATGCCTCCCGTTCGAATTTTCAGGGAGGAAGCGCTCCGGTATGAACTCCTCGGGTTTCGGGAAGCTCTGCTTGTCACGGTGCAATTGATACGAAAACACCAGCACGACCGTCCCTGCTGGAATTTCGTATCCGTCTGTAAAGCAACGGCACGATGAGTCCGCATGACCTCGGAGGAAGTTCTCCAGATATGCGTCGAAGCGACCATGGGGTTTCATCGCCGCGCTCTAGGAACTCACTCAAGCGGAAAGCTGCGTGCACCTCTCTACCAACAACCGGTACCGATGGGAAGAGTCTCAGGGCCTCTTTGATGCAGCAATCCAGGTACTTCATGCTCCTGAGATCCGCCATGCTCGGCTGTCTTTCATCGGATCCGAATATCCTGTCCTGTTCATCTTGGCAACGGCGTTGGACATCGGGATGGAGACCCATCATGAAAATGGTCCAAGAGAGCGCCATAGCCGTTGTATCGTGTCCCTTTGGAGGCTTGAAGCTCAATACTCTGCCCCTCGCCTCTGAATAACAATTCAGAATATTCGCCCATCGGTGGGCCGTCGTCAACTTACCTCGAACATGAAGGTGTCGACCTCCTCTCGTATGTCGCTCTCCGGTAAGGATTTTGGGTTTGCGAAATGTTGTTCTAGAAGGAGATCGAGGAACGCCAGACGTTTTCCTCGATATTGTGGATCGAGCTTCCTCTCCGCGACGGCTTGTTGCTTCCTTTCTTTGATGACGCTGCAAGTAATATAAATTATTGCCGTCCTACGGGGGTGACGTGAGAATGGAACACACAGGCGTGCGAGAGAGTGAGTTGAGGAAAATCATGTGCGATTAAAGAGACCCGCGTTGCTCTCACGGTCCTTCTTACCCTTCAGTGAACGCATGTATGCCTTTCACATGACGTCGAAAAGTCCTGCCAGCCTCCGTGAGCAAGTACAGATAATCTAGGTAGAGCCACGGGCGTACGAGCCGTTCAAGAAAGAATTTTCCCACGGCGTAAACGTCTGTCACGTATTGCGATTCAGTTCCGGACTGAGCTCCGACTTTGACACCCATCGCGGTTTCTGGAAAGGCGTGATTTGGGATTGAACTCGCGGAAGGACGCCATTAAGCGCATGTGTCCGCAACTTCGGACAGCCTCGATCATCCGACCGAGACTCATTTGTTCGTCATCAATCAAGATATCAGACGCTCCTTCCAAAAACGTCCACGAGCTGATCGTGAAGTTGAAAATCGGGAAAGACTCGAGGGGCTTCACCGAGGCGGATCGATTCGATGGACGCCTTAGGTAAGCGGGGCACATGGAACTCACCACAAATGATGTCCAGCGTGCATTTTGTGATCTCAGGTACGATATCGAAGTCTGCGTCGATTTTGGTCTGAAGATTTGCCACGAACACGTCTGCCTGCTCATTCATGACCGGCAGGAAATCTTCAAGAATTCGGAAGTGGAAGGCCGGCGTCAACATCTTCCGGCGTGCACGCCATTTCTCTCCACAACTTCCCGGGAAACCGAAGCGTTAGTCCTCTCAAACCTCCCGAAAACGATGACAACGATCGCGTTAGACGTCGATACTTCTTAACTCGGGATCCGCAGATCCACCGAGATCCCCGCATCGCTCAGGAGGCGCTCGTAGACATGCTAACCTTGTAAGCAAGCCTGTGCCCAGCCATGTGTTCAAGAGAGAATACAGGATCGGCTTCTTGAGATTTGTCGTATGATTCAGGACAGCCTCAACTCCTTCCGGGGAAAACACGATTACCGTCGGCTGGAAACCCAGGAAGACCTTGTACACCTTCTCCTTGTGGTACCAAGCGCTCAAGCCTGTCAGCAATCGAAAAATGCCTGGAAGTCGAGATGGAAAACTCGGATACTGGCCCATTTGCCCTACCATAGGAATGCTCCCCACGACCTCAAAAATATCAGATTCCGGAAGGTTGAGCTTCGGTCCAGTGGTAGACGAAAACCGGGATATGAAGTGGATCAAGGCTTGAAATGCACCTTTTTTCTCGATACAAAGATTCGCAATATGATATCGGTGAATCGAGGTGGAAAATTAATGACTTGGGGAATTCGTCGAATCATCGTGAAAGTCATTCTCGGATCTGACTGAGTCGAGCTGAGTCTCATTCCTGCCGGGCTGTAAGGGAAAATCCCCAGCTGTTCCAAATACCTGTAGATGTGTCCCAGTACTCCGAATCAGCTTTCTGGAGGATGAGGCAGAATATGTTGTAGGCCGGGGGTATGAATCCCGAAAGGCCACGGTCGAACGGACCAGGCATTGGTCGCAAAGCTTTCCACATCCGAAAATGACGATACACCACAGCAGATGCCCATCGTACAAAGAGCCCACAGTAGATGACAAGAATTTTCTCCACCAAACTGAGCTCACTGAAGGAGCGGTATATCGCATCGAGCATTTTCCTGGCTCACTCTGATATAACTTCACTCCAGTCCAAGTTCTGTCGGAGTGAGCATTCGAACATGGATGCTACTGGCTCAGAGCATGGAGGCATAAGCAGGAAATCGAGGCTTCATCGGTCGAGCGGGAAAGAAAACTGTTTACACGGGGAACTCCACAGCCTCGATGAGAGGCATGTGCGACGCGCATATTGCAGCCGGCTGAACGCTAGAGATTGCATGGAATACGAGTGCTCAAGTCAGGTCCCAAATGACCGACCTGAGGCGTGTTTCGCATTCGTACAAGATTCCTCGAAACACCTTTGGTCACCAGTCAGTACACCGGGGAGAGATTATCGCTTCACAATTTGAACGATAACTCACAAATGAACGCGGTGTTCGCGCGGATCACATGCTCGGGTCGGGAACGAAGCGGATCACCATCCGAAACTCGGTGCCGTGCCGATGGACAACGTGTTTCTGGAAGGGTCGGATTGTTCCAACAGAAGATTCTCGAGGGCGACGTCTTGCGGTCTGAGGTCCCTGCGTGTTACATAATTCCATAATTGAAGGTTCCATAATTTTCGAGAGTCGCTCTCATAGATCTTGCGAAGACTTAGAAAGGATACTCGAGATGTTATTCGAGGCCCGTAGCCGCTCCAAACCAAGCAGCCACAGCAATCAGGAAATATGTCCACCTGGAGAGCCTGCCTCTGTTTGCAGCTTGGGGGAGCTTGTCCCGCAAGCCGGCCCTCCATCGATCCTTCTGCCTTCATCTGTCGAGACGCCGACGATTCGACTGAGCACGGGGCCCGCTGTAGGCCTTACACATATGTGCATTTTGAACCTTCCTCTGACCTCTCCTCGCAGGAGAAATCCTTTCTTCCCGCGAGGAGGAGTCGAGGCTACAAGAAAATTATTGAGAGAAGCTCCAATCGACAAAAGAGCCGCATCCGCGTGGCCCACGATCTTCATTCGAGATCTGGGCTTCTATTTGTGTCCGATGGGGTTGTGCCATGGATCCCAATCAACGATCGCTGAACTGCGGAGACGTCCTGCATGCGCAGGATCACTCGCATCGGGAAATATATTGGTGATGCGGTCAGAGTTGGTTCACAATCTGTGCAAGAGCAAGCTCGCATCTTGTGACATCGCCGAGCTCGAAACCCCCGAGATGACATGCCCCATGCCGTGAAAGGAAGAGCGCACTCAGACGATAGGGAGTTTATTTCATTGTACATACATAATGTCTGCGGTACCCGACGTTATCTCGTGGGCTCGATACGGTGCATTCACCGCCAGACTCTTGCTCTGCGGAGGATTGCGGCAGCTGCTAAGGGCAGGAGGCTCACGATTTTCGTGACGTTCTTCTTGAGATCGATACAGGCAAACCTGTCCTAGAGCGGAGCACCATCTCTGCTGACAGCTCCAGTGAATCGAATCCGACCAGTGATTTCACGGTGTAGTGCCTCAGCAAGCTGGATAGAACCACTTTCTCCTCCATTAAAGCGAATCGTTGACCTGGAAAATTCAAGTCGAGACATTTCTGGACCTATATGGTAGACACTACGAACTAGCGGAGGTAGCGATCTCTGTGAGAGACTGGGATTACCGATGCAATTCCGCGGCCCCGCAGAGAACGGGACGTACGCGAAGGGATGTCTTCCATTGCAATTTTCGGGGAAGAAGCGGTCCGGTATAAATTCTTCCGGTTTGGGGAAACTCTCTTTGTTTCGGTGTAGCTGGTAAGCGAATACGAGGACGACGCTGCCCTCCGGGACCTGGTATTTATCTGCGAAAATCATGATCGTTCAAGAGAGATTTCCCCATCCTGGCAAATTCTCGTTCAATCCAGCCCGGACTTCGAGCACACACTCACTCAGGTTGAACGTTGTGTGCACCTCTCTGCCTACGATCGGAACCGAGGGGAACAATCTCAGCGCTTCTTTGATACAGCACTCCAAATATTTCATGTTTTTGAGATCTTCCATATCAGGCTGTCTCTTCTCGGAGCCGAAGATCTGATCCAGTTCATCTTGGCAGCGACGCTGAATCTCGGGGTGATGACCCAGCAAGAATATGGTCCAAGAAAGTGCCATTGCCGTCGTATCATGCCCCTTCAATTGATTGGAAGATTATCATAAATGTTTCAGTCCCTTAGCCTTGAAGAATCTCGAGGCCCCGCAGTATGAGGTCGCTCATCGGAACCGGGCAGATGAGTTTCGAAATCAAAGGATCACGAATACTGAACCTCGAACATGAAGGTGTCCACTTCCTCTCGAATGTCATGTTCTGGCAAGCCTGACGGATTCGCGAAGTGCTCTTCGAGAAGGAGGTCCAGGAAAGCCAAACGTTTCTTCCCACCGGATGTACCATGAGTGTTTTCTCGAATTTTTTGTTTCTTCCGCTCCCGTATAACACTGGAATAGGACCGATTCGAGTTAAAAACATCTGTACATCTAAAAACGGAGACGATTCTCATCCCGAAAGTTACATGGAGTCTTTCTTACGTGCTACCTATGGAATGTTTTCTCCGCGAAATGCAGACATGTTAATGCGGCCGATACGTACCCTTTCGTGAAGGCGTGGATCCCTCTCACATGTTGATCAAAAACTCGTCCAGCTTCAGTGAGCAAATACAGGGAATCCAAGTATAGCCACGGTCGGACGAGCCGTTCCAGGAAGAATTTACCGACGGCATAGACGTCTCTGACGTACTGCGATTCAGTGCCCCTTTGAGCGCCGACCTTAACGCCCATGGCAGTTTCTGAAATGATGAGCGGAAACTCATTGCCGTCTGTCTGGATCAACTCATTCGGGGATGAGTCTCGCCCCGTAGAAACCCATACCTTCCCTTATCTCACGGAGCTACGGCCCGATAGTATGCGACGAGATTGTGCGAATTCGAATATTTTCATTGACCCCGGGAGCGGACTTTAAATGAAGTCTCGGAGAATTCTGCCGGATCCGATTGGTCCCCATGGTGACTTTTATGAGATATGTGTTTCGGCTCCTGAAGCTCTCCTCCCTCCGATTTCCATCGCCAACTGCGATGACTTCAAGGAATTGTCTATCAGGAAAGTAAAGATTCGGAGCACGACCTTATCCCTCACAATACCCTTTTCCCCCATAATGAACCCAATAATTGAGAGCCGCTCCCGGACACCAACTGGACTCATATCAGCCATCGCCGATCACCGAGCTTGTCGAAACAAGAGCGCTCTTCAAGTGTTGTTATTGTTATTGCCAGGTAGTCGTCGCCATGCAGGCAGACAGGCCCACCATCGCAGCGCGCGCTTTCTTTCACCGTTTGAACTTCCTGATTCCGCTCATCTGAAACTACTCATTCTGACGGGGAGCTCACGGAGGGAGCTAGAGAATCATCGGAATTGAGGAATCCTTCCAAGCCGTTCAGCTTAGATCCATCTGTGAGCTCTTGTCGTTTCTTGCTCATCTGACTCGTCATCATTTTTTTTTAACGCCGCAAGCATCGGCTGCTAGCGGTTGATGGGTAGTGTGAGAAGCTGTTCGAAACTTCTTGCTTTTGACCGACAGCGCCGTAAACTTCGACTGACGCGAGCTACGTTCGTAGAATCACTGCGCGAGGATCCCCCTTAGCAGTGAAGGTTTTCTGCCGCGACTCCGACCAGAACGATGCCGGTCGACGCTAGAGTTCTCCTACTGAGCCTGGGAGCTTTGATGTGCACATTATGTATCTCATTTCACCGCATAGAGGAAGGACACATGGGTGTATATTACAGGTGAGGTTCCGAGGCTGGGGAGCTCGGGCGTGGAAATCAGCGCTTTGTACTTCGATCGTTGCGTCTGCCGAGCTCGTCGATAACTTCTCTACATTGTACTTGGAATTTCTTCCGTATGCGTTGGACTTCAAAATGCGCTTCGGAGTCTACCGCTTGATTGAATGATGCGCTTGATTCAAAGCAATAATTAGGAACTGGTACCGGAAGCCGCCCCAAGAATGTTCAGAGATCGCGCAGGGACGAAGCGAATTTCGACTTGACGTTTTGACGCCGGAAACTCGGAGACTGATGATATTGTGCTTCACCCCTCGGATCTCCAAGTCTTCTCTCTATAATGGGCGATCGATCTTATTCATTCCAGAGGCGGAGCGCTGTTGAAGACGCTCTCGAATCCGGGGTTCCACCTCATGATACCTTTCATCACCACGTTCCGATCGATACAGATCACAATGCAGACCGATGAGGTGAAAAACGTCCCCTGCGGAACCTCGGGCGGAGTTATGATATATTTCGATCGGATCGAAGTTGTCAATGTTCTAGCTCGGGAGAGTGTCTATGAGATTGTGAAGAATTACACGGCGGATTATGACAAGACTCTTATCTTCAACAAAGTGCATCACGAGCTAAATCAGTTCTGCTCGAGACACAATCTGCAAGAGGTGTACATCGACTTATTCGATCAAGTACGTGCGAGTTCTCTAACCGTCGAAGCCTCAGAAGAGGATTTTGGATATTTCGATCACTGTTGGCGAGAAAGGCTACCAAAGACGTTTGTAATTCGGTTTCTCTCGATTCCAGATCGACGAGAACCTTAAGACAACACTGCAGCGAGATTTGACCGTCCTCGCACCGGGTCTATACGTACAAGCGGTTCGAGTGACGAAACCGAAAATTCCGGAGACCATCAGACGAGATTACGAAGCTATGGAAGCCGAGAAGACCAAATTGCTCATTTCGGTCCAGCGCCAGAAGGTGGTCGAGAAAGACGCTGAGACGGAGAGGAAGAAAGCAGTCATCGAGGCGGAGAAGAACGCTCAAGTTGCGAGAATTCAGCACGAACAGAGAATTTCCGGTAGGTCGCATCGAGATCTTCAGCGCGAAACGAGAGACAATTCTCAAGATTCTCAATCCTCGATTCGGTCTCGGCAAACCATAACCCGTCGATAACCGCGCTGACAATTTCAATTGCAGAGCAAGAAACTCTCAAGAAAATGAGTCTGATCGAGGACGAAATGTATCTCTCGAAACAGAAAGCATTAGCCGACGCGGATCACTACGCGAAAGAGCGCGAGGCTGCCGGAAATAAATTGTTGTTGACGAAGGAGTATCTCGAGCTGAGGCGATACCAAGCTCTGTCGGCGAACAACAAAGTATACTTTGGCAAGGACATACCGAGCATGTTCTACGACAGCTGCAACCCCCTCCCAGCCAAAGAAGTACTAGGGGCAGCTACTAAACAGACGAGCGGTGCAAGGTGATGAATAATCGGGATTCTCATCCCGTCGCATCTCGGTGTCATTCCAACCAGTGGAGGGAGACCGTTGAGACGTGCCAACGTGGTTTCCGCGATGATGAGGACCGATAGAGGACGAAGCACGGTGTTGCTGAGATCGAACTTACCACAAATTATATCCAATGTGCACTTGGTGATAATGGGGACGACATCGAAGTCTGTACCAATTTTTTCCTCCAAACATTCTACGAATACTTCCGCTTGCTCATTCATTACGGGCAAGAAATCCTCCAGGATGCGAAAATGGAATGCCGGCGTCAGCATCTTTCTCCGGGAGCGCCACTTGTTTCCCCAACTGGAAGAGAAGTTTCCCTATTTATAGATTTTGAACCCGTTGTTTTCTATTATATTCCTGATTATGGTGATGAAAGTGTTGACGAATATTCTGCTGCGTGATTGAATGAGGGGCTGAGAATAAATGTTTTGATATATCTTCGTGGAATCGCTTTGTGGATGTGCATAGGGGGGAACCATCGTGCGGTAAGGTGCTTCCCTTCGAATCGATGAAAATCGGATGACGATTGAGGGATTCCAAACGGACGTTCAGGACTCTCGTGGACGAGGCTTGTCGTCCTCTGCCTCAAGAATCACCGATCGACGGTTAAGTATCGCGAAAGAAGGTGAAATACAGATCTTCCTGACAGGTGAGTCCGCATGGGAACTGAGTCACTGAAGCTGGGGCAGGGTCCCACTTCTGGTCAAAGCGACCGCTTCTGAGAGTCTATCTTCTGTAGCGCAGGTTACTACTTCTCATTTAGAGCTCGCGAACATATCGACGTTGGCACCTCCTTGTAGGCACCTCTCTCTACAAGATCATGATCGCTCACCTTGATTCCATATCTTCGAGCAGATTATTTCGATCGTACAACTCCCTCACCTTGTGAGTAGTCCTGCTCCCAGCCATGTGTTCAGTAAAGAGTACAGAATCGGTTTCTTGAGATTCGTCGAATGATTGAGAACAGCTTCGACGCCTTCCGGGGAGTATACGATGATAGCTGGCTGGAACCCCAAGAAAACCTTGAAAACCTTCTCTCTATGGAACCATATGCACAATCCATTTAGTAGCTGGAAGATGCCTGAAAATAGAAGTAAGCCTGATCAGAGTCGATCATATCCGTACGCCCTCGAGCCCTTGTTCCTCGCCGCAAAATCTCCATCCGGATACAAGTTGCGGAACCTAGCTGAAGCGGATATGGCTAGTGAGCGATGCATTCCCACGAGAAGCTCCTCAAATAAAATGGATGACGGTCGCAGAGAGGAGTCCCGGCCGGCGCCAATCCTCCACCTCTCCGGCGTTGAACCGCGAGAAGAGGGACCGGAGGAGCAGTTCATTCCGTCGGGTTCCGTCAAGGGCTGCAATCGCGGTCGATTTCATGGCCTTCCTCTAGAGGATGAGTTAGAGTCGTGATCTTTTGGTGATCCTTATATCCATCTTGGCTCTTAGCGTGATGCCTCTCTCGGAATACGGGCAGAGCTGGGAGCCATCATCGTCGTCATTGGTGCACGCGTGACCTGTCGCGACATCTTATCGACTGACAGCTTCATCGAGCCGAATGCGGACACCGGGATGTCGGCGTTCTGGATTTGAGACCCGGGACCGGGGACACAGCCCTTGAGCTCATAGTCACAGCGGCCGAAACCGAGAACCTTTCGCGGTCGCCGAGGAAAATTTGTTTCGTGAATCTTGAGGATCTTATTAGATTCATGTATGAAGCTCGCACAGCTGGCAGAGCGGATGGATTTCGCGAATTTCTTACGCAGATCTCCGGAGGCGACCCTTCTCGCGCCTGGGGCCTGGGTGATCTTGGCGTGAGCTTTGTCGTCTTCCATTTTGCGCGGAGCAAGCAGGGAATTCGGAGCAGTAAATGAGCAAGGTCCCATACTTTCGACGGCTTAAAGTTTCCCTTAGGGAGAACATGATTCCACACGCTCGCTTTGATCTCAACAGAGGAACGAACGGGAATCGTAGCTCATAAGGAATTACGCGGTCAACTCAGGTAGGAACTATGACTCCTTGGGTCATTACAACACAGATCAAATGCTTGGATGTTTCCCATGAAATAAGCGGAGAAAAAAGGATCCTTCGTTGCGATCATCCCGGAGATCATCAAGAGCATAGACCCGAGCAGGAAACTCCAATTCTTAGATGTGCTCCTTTCTCCTAGGTGCCTCCGGCAGGCATTGTACCTGCCTCGGAACCGCTACTGAGAGACTTCGAATTCGTCGCAAATCACGTCGAGAAGATCACGAATCACGACCCGCCAGTGATAGGATAGGATCGGCGCGATGTCGCGGGATTACTATGCCCCCATCGAGATTTCATGAGATCAGGCTCGTCGGAAGAAACTCGATAAGTATACTCGAACTTCCATCTCTGGGGATCAATGTGGATCATCGGAGGCTAGTTGCGAAAAGGCGAGTTTCGAATGGATTATCTGACCTTAGCCCACGAGAGAGGGGGGGGAGGTCACTCGACAGAGAAGAGAATTGATGGACTCTATGAAATCCATAATCTCAACGGATGCGAATTCCGAGCACGAGCAATAGGTGTACCCACCACAAGGCTCCATTCCTCTCGCTAGTTTATCAACAGATCTGAGGGATCACCTCAGAATGTCACCGAATACTCCCGAACTTGAAATGAATCAGGAGCTCTCAAACATGTTCTCAGACAAGATTATCCGCGTGAACCGTCGCGTGTCCTCCTGGTTCGGAACTCCTCGCGGCGGAGCCGCCGATGCGAGAAACTCAATGGAATTGGAACTGCTCTGCAGCCTGTCCGCCCAGATTGCTTCGATGGCTTTCCCGAGAAGCTCTCGACTGGACGATTCCTAACGGTTTCCCATGTCAAGGTTTCAACCCAAGGAAAATTTCTGGTGAGCGAATGATGCCGTTCCACTTTGACGCACTCACCAAGTCCCTTACATATACTCGCTAGGGCTAATCCAGCCCGCTTAGCTACAGTCAATGAGTAAGCTTTCCCCAGCCATCTGTTCTGACACAGAACTTGGGCTTCGATTCACAACTCTATCATCTGTGCAAAAATTCACAATACCAGATTAGCTGTCATGATATAAGCACACAGATCGCTCCCGTCATCGAGTGTTTCGGTGAATTATCTCGCTGTGATGACGAGGGAAATCACCGAGGCATCCACTGCCAACAACCCCCACGACAACCTCCCGAGCGAAGAGGGGGAGGGGGTGAGAGGATGGGAAGGGGTTTTGTGCCTGAATTTGGTCCTCGAAAATCCGCGTGCAGCTTCATCGAATCCGATGATCGAGATCTGATTCTATTGATTCCAATGCAATCTCTCCGGTCCCGCGACAATCCTTATTAGTATCAGTGATATTCGACATCGCCTCCGCAGCGCATATGATGGAGGGTTTGGATATTGATACAGACCGGTGGACGTTTCCAGGAACTCAGAATAGGCATGTTGCAGAACCAAACAGAAAATATTATAAGCTGGCGGTATGTATCCGATTAGGTCACGACTGAAGGGACCGGGCATGGGTCTCAGAATTTTCCATATCCGGTAGTAACGATGCACGAAAAGACAGCAGTACGTGAAGATGGTCGCGAGACAAACACTCAACACAGACTTCTGCACGAAACTGAGATCACTCAAATAATCAGAAACCGTGGTGAACATGTTCACTCGGATTCTCGCTGATGCACGGCGCGCTGTCTTGGGACTTGCCGTCACGCGGAAGCCGAAGTAAAGTACAGTGAGCAACGAACCGCAATTCTGTCCAACAGAAAGAGGGGAGAAAGTGCTTCGAGTAACCTTCGATGCGACGCAGACGGAATGGCAGAAATCCGCTCCGATGATATGATGAAGTCTTCCGATGGGATTGTTTCATCAGAGAAGAACGCGATAACTTCCTCTCTAACCATCGACACCACAGTTTCATAATTTGAAGCGGAAGACAAATCGAAGATAGCAAACAGGAACGGGAAGAAATAGCCCCTGAACACTCTCAGCGGCCACCGACTGCCGTTGGTTCCGTCAATGGCACCGATTTTTTTCATGCATCTCTCTATAATTTCTCCAATATTGTAGCGGACCGTTGCTTCCCCGTGTCGATGAGGCGGGTGCCTTAGTTTCGGCTCTTCAGGGGGTGAACGGATACGCTACCGGACGTTTTCTGATTCCAAGATTGCTTGACCAAATGACCATGAACTTCGGTGACAGGAAGTTTTCCCGTTCATCAGGTGATTGTAATAGCGGCGCATCCCTCGAGAATACGGATGCGGTGACCATCGGAAGACCTGGGATGATTATCTATCCGCACTGGGTCAGAGAAAGACAGCTCGGTGGATACGCGAGTACCAGTTGACAGCAGGAACCGCTCGAAATGAAGAAGGAGTCACGGAGTCGCGGGTGATGATTTCCGGATCTCCCGGGCACCGCGCGCTGTGACCCTGACCGATGATAATTTACACAATTGAATTGTTTCGGCACGAGAGGTTCACGGTTCCTGGGTCAGGCCTCTTCCGTTCTCCCGCCGATACCTTCTCCATTGTGGGGTATCGATGTTCCACGGACAATGCGGATCATTCTGCGAGAAATTATTCGCCGTGCCTCGCCTCTGCTTTCCCAAATAACTCCACCCAAGAGATCCTTGCGTGGAGGCGGCGGGGAGGAAGCCATGTTGCCGCGTGATTAGTCATCCCCCACGTGAGGGGGGAAGGTAAAGTCGAGCGGCTTCACTCTGCCTGAAGTATCGGCCAAATCCGAATCATCTCAGAAGCTAACCGATTGATAGAAAACCGCGAGTCCCATGATGAGAGACTCGCCGAGCCGCAATAATAGTACACTTCGAGCCGTTTGCTCATTCGATGAAGAGAGATCGGAATCGAACGTATGAGACAGTCGAAGCGGTTCTCCGTTCTGTGCGATCGACCGGAGTCTTACTGTACCTGTTGCGTCCATTCCGGCTGCGATCCGCGATAGCGTCGATCGTCACCGGAAAAATAAAGAAATTCTTCCCTACGGGCGGTAGTGCCACCTTATTTTTCGTGAGGATCACTCAAAGTACTATTAGAAGTGAAAAGCGCCGATTTCGTCGACCTTCGCCCCGGTCAAGTTCAAGCCGATGCGAATCGCGCGGCGAACGACCTTCACCTCAAATAACGGAAGAACCGCCATTCGTGTCTGAACGTCATTTCTGGAAAATAAAAACTCTCGATAGGACATCATGGTTTGGAACCCTTTCTGGAAAACTGAAATGGCTTGGAAAACCATCCACACAAAATAAGAGCCGTCTTCCCCGAATATCGATTTGACGGATTGTCGACATATCGGTGCGTTGCGTTAGGCATCATGGGCAGTCGAGCGTCATGGTTAGCGACCGTTATTTCCTCCATCGGAATGAGAGGATTTTCGAGTCGTGCATATCGTCTACCGTCAAAGGACCTGGCTCATTAATCTTCTGTTCCGCTGTTCCGTCTATGCAAAGTTTATCTTCTGTTTGTCTCTACCGGAGTCCGGCTATATCTGTGCTCCATAATATTCTGTCTCCTCGGTTCGTGTGTGTCTGCCCGATACTCCAGAATTTTGCGATTCTCTCACAGATAACAGATGAGAGCTTGTTCCCTTCCTGATTTCATTGATTCGGCTCATTCACCTCCAGGTCATCAATGTCTTAGAAACTCCGGATTAATCGATCACATAAAACGTCGGATGCGTTCGCGTTTGATCACTTGAGAGCCCAGAGACCGGAGACTCCTGAACCGTTCATCGGATCGACGTGAGATTACTCTTATTGCAGACCGGACTCCCACGCTGATTCGAAGCGCGTGGCAATCATCATGGATCGGATCGTTCCACTTCTAGCGTCCGGAGGATAGAATCCACAGTGATCATGGAGGACGAGGGAAAGGTGAGGGAAGACTTGCGGGATCAATGACAACGAATCCGCGAGAGGTAAGGATAGGGGGTCGGTTCGTCGACATCGGTGGATCCTTCCATTCTTGAGAGGGAAAACTCCCGCAGGCCGATCGATCTTCTGATTGAGGAACTGTGGCAATTGGAACTGATCGCCCACGCCCTTCCAATTCGGGAAGAAGCGCGAGTTCGAGGCGCGACGACGTCTTCTCGACGCTGCCAAACTCGAACGTTCTAGAGTCTAGACCATCTGACTGAAACCTCAAAAAGAGGGACTCTAGCGGGCGGGCAAGGTTTGAGTTGGGGTCGCTATCTTACGCGAGCTATGTACTTCTCCCTGAGAACAAAGAACCCGACATCTGATTATGATCATCAGGATTCTAACTTATTCGAGAGTGACTCCCTGAATCGATCGAATGTCCGCCGAAAAAAACGCCGCCTATGTCCTATCTCACGAATTGAGTTGAGCACTCTCCGCAAAAGCAACAGAGACACTGAGGTCTCTTCGAGCAACTACCATGGAATCGTGCACCGGTATCGCTATCGATGCCGGACGAATAGAGTGGATCAGGTTCAGAGACTTATGCGGACTTTTTGTTCCGAGAGGGGAAGCAGACCGCAGCTCGCAGAGCAGGAACAAAGGTCCGCCGAGATGAGACATGACCCGCTCCCGTGCGTCCCCATATCAGCATTGGAACGGAACGTCTCTGGGGGGGGGTGTTCACGTATGGCGACGGTCAATGCACTCATTAGGGCCACTAGGAAGCTTTGTCCTCTCCCCCGGAGGTCTGTCACCTGCCTGCCGTTCTGCACCGAATCACAAAAGTTTTCTAGGCTACAAAGGTCCTTATGCCAGGCTCCGCTGACCAATAGGATGTAAGCTTCCGTGAGCCTCCACAGTACGCAGCTAAGCTCATTGCGGCTCCCGGCTGCCACCACCTGCATTAATGAAGGAGGATTCGAGGAATAATCGCCAGTCACCCCCTCCCCCGAAGCCTTCCTTGATTCGACACGGCTACACATCCCTGAATGAGTCACAACGTAGAAGCGAATGTGAGCCTTGTTCGTTGAACTCATTAGGGAGCTCTGGGCAACTCGGTCGTCGGCAGAGATCTCAGCGGAACGCCGAAGTTATCTCGGACTGGGAACATTGAAGCTCCTGGATAATAATCCGTGGTAACCGCTCGAGCCCGTCCGTCGGAGTACTCTGCTAATCGGTATGGATCCCCGGGACCCGGGACTTCGCTTTCTCGCCCTCCGTATTCTTTTCCAAGATCCTTATGTATCTCCTGGTACATCATCATTGGCTCTTCAGTGGTGGAACTCTGATTCGTCAGTTGCTTCTCTGAGTTATCGCTTCTATCTCTTTGGATGCCGGAGGTTCCATCGAGGCGGATTCCTTTTCCGCAGACGTGCCTCATTACGTCATCATAACGACATGTGTAATGTCATCACACAGGATCTTGGAACCTTCCGCGGTCTCGATGCTCTGAACGGAGTCATTCCCGAGCTTTGCGAATTCGTCGGGGGAGCTCCCGTTTGCATTCAGGGAACTTTTGCGAAGCTTCTAGTAAGGTTCAGGGGCAGCCCCTTCCCCTGTTGTCGTGCGTAAGCTAGCCAACGTGACTCCCCGCGAATCAGCGACGAGAATTGCCGGGTCTCGACGTATTGCCCGGGCTTACGGCGTTCGAAATCCGGTCCTTCTCTGTTAACGATTTCTGACACGAATCCTGACTAGATCTCCATCGGGTCAGAGAAACATCTCGACTATAGCCTCGGCCTCGAGTAGCGACCAGCTCGGACAGACGACATTCTCATGCTTCGGCGCCGATAAATGCGAAGGTTGGCTCGGAAAATTGCGCACCCGGGTCGATTCTTTCGGAGACCAGATTTTTTCAGGCGCAGTTATTTCATAGCGAACGTTTTTTTCCGGCATAGCTAGGCCTCCGAAGGATTCCCGGGCCCCATGGGAGAGCCTCTAGGGTAGGATTGGGAATGGCTCCGGCCAGGGGACAGTCTTCCGACGTTCGCTCGAGGAGGTCGGCGAGTGATGCAGACCGTTCACGGAATCCGCAGGAAATGACCGGATGCTGGATGGGAACCCGCGATTCCCTCGATCGAGACAGCGTCGTTATGGTACTGAGACGATGATAAGGTTATGAACCGACCGTTCAGAAGATCCCGCTATCGAGACGGTTTACCGGGAGTAGTAGGTGCAGAAGTCGTGCTATGTCACCCAAAGCGAGTTCGCCGCCATCGACCACGGGGTGAGAACGAATTGGTTGCTTCCCCTCAAGCGGAGACTACCCATGTAGCGGTTGGTGGCCGATGCACCTCGAGAGGGAACGGTATTTCCGCTGGCGCGACGTGGCGATGCGGCGCCCGGGAAGGACCAGGAGAATAGCGGCATGATAGACGGAGTCGATAATTCTGACAGAGGAATACTCGGAAACTGCAAGACGCATCAATGACCCTTGGGCTGCGACTCATCCCGAAAAAGGCTCCTATGGCTTTTACCAGAGTGGGATAGAAATCCAAGTCGGTACCCCTCACTCCGATATGGATATATATGATATCACGATTTCCAGGTTCGAACTTCGAAGAATCAAGTTCCAACCTTCTTGAATAAGCGTCGAAACGGTTTCGATGAGACGCTGCTGATTTAGCGAGAGGGGTAGATATTTTCTTCTCGAAGATATTGCTGGCTTATTTCCTTACTGGCCATGGCGGCGATACGCGCTCTCGCGGCTAATTCGCTCGAGTGCCGGCTGCGATGCTCTCGGAGCCCGGCCCGACCTGCCAGAGCGGAGACCCGGAAACGCGTCACGTGAACACGCAATGAGACGCTAAGCGTGTGAAAACTGCAGAGAAATCCAATTTCAAGCGGCTCCTCGATCCTGTAAGGTGTCAGGAGTCAGGAGCGAAGGAAAATCTGAGTGAGAAGTCGAGCTTCGGCCTCGATAGTGAGGCTCAGAAGAGCAACGACACTGCAGAAGGGTTGGGGTCTGGGAGCCGCATACGCCATCACGGGGGGGCGGGAGTTCCACACGCTCCGAAACTTCTCATGGGTCGCCTTATCCTTCATCGTGAGAATCAAAAATCAGAGAGAGGAAGCCGTTGAAGCGTCTCTCGTTAGGAATTCGACCAAACGTCCGTTAAATCTGAGTGAGAATCGATGGACTATCACGGTTTCAATCGATGTTCCACCCATGGAACCTCGGTCCTGGAGAAATCCCGGAGCAACACGAGAGATACTCCATGAGCCAAGACAGCCATCCGTCTCTCTGCACCTCACCGGGATAGACTCGAATCATCTTCTTGGGAGCCATCTATCTATTTTCTCCGTTCACGGAACGGGCGTCGCACTGCTTCGCCACCAATCATTTATACGCACTTCTTCTCCGGAAGGCTGCAAGCTCGAAGAACACTGTGAGAAGCGTTGAGCATTCGTGTCGTGATGTAGAGAGGATGTGGGGAGAGAGACATCCCAAACAACAGTGACTGAGGAGAAACCTTGGAAAATTTCCGGGAATACTCAGGAAAGACTCAGCAAGTGAAGAAATCGAGACGTACGTCTTGCAGCCTCGCGAGCGATTCCGCATCGGGAGGATAAATTTCATCCGTCGTTGGACAGAGGAAAGCACCGAAAAGCGTTTCGATGGCTGACCGGCATTGCTGTTTTATCCTATAGGGGCATGCGTCATCTAGAACATCGATACCCACTCGGCCGAAAACGGATGCCCCTGCCCTCTGGCCCAGGGATAGCAATCGTCGTGAAGAAGTTTTAGGCTAAATGCTTCATAAGTTCGCGCTTTCTGTCCTTACGATCGGGTCAGTGCCGTATTGTCAACTACGGAGGTACCTCCAAGTGACGGCGTTTCAAGTTGCTCCTTTAACGTCATCCACTTCCCCTGTCTAGACGGCGGAAAATGGGATGAAATCATAGACTCAGCTTTCCCATCGAACCTCTCTGAAATGCCGAGACCCATATATCCCCGCTGCGGCTTCGCTCAAAGAACGGACGCTCTTCGTGGAATAGCGGATCGGCGGACTAGAACAAGCGGCCTCTCGTTCGATTCGCGGTACCCCCGCGAAGAAGCGAACGCGGAGCGATGCTCTGTCGCACGATGAGAAGGGATGTCGTTGATTCTCGAGCTACGCCGCACAGCGTCGAGAGCGATGAACCAATCTCCCGCCTCGACACCAATCTTTCGATCGCTGCGGCCGCTGCGAGGATGAATTTCAAAACAGATCACCAGATTTTCTTGGGTTCTGCGACCTCCGCACACCCGGTCGGGTTTCGCCCAAGAGCCTATGTTTCGGTGACTTGGAGTTCCTGTAGGGATCTTCTTCCCCTCGTCGGAGCCACGGCCACCGATACTGCTTTTCTAGACCTTTTTCGTCTCGATGGCCTCTTTCGAATACGTGAGCGAGACCGACTTTTAGGGAGCGTCATCTTCAAAACGAATCCGACGAGAAGGACTAGTCCAGTGAGAAACAAATATTTCCTGAGTTGCCTTCGCACAATTCCCGATGCTCCCGGTCGTTGTCACGAAGTCAGAATCCACTTGTGTCGCTATGAAGGGGGAACGGAGCGATGCCCGAAAGCTTATAATTTCTTGCTCGAGCGAGGTCGCTTGGAGACCGAGTCTACAGCTGGCGTTGCCAGTCCGAAGACTCGCCGAGGGGCTCTCCGCGAGCTGGTTCGAAACTCACCGGTCCCAGCACCTGGGGCTGGCACCAACGGCGCGCACAAGCGGGGTAGAATTTCTCGGTCGAATTGGCTCCCAGTCAGAGGAACTCTGAGCGCGCCGCTGGCTGGCACCGCACTGCTACGAAGGGAGTCTCTTAGTCAGCAGCGGACTGGATGGCTGCTCTAAAGATTTCATGACAATTCGGCGAATCGAGCAGGCGCGTGTGCGAAATTACATGTCACCATCATGTCCTGCCCCGGATGAGAAGGGATTATTGGAGCCGATGCCCCCGCTTCTCGGTGGCTCGGCTACTAATTTTCGCGGCGATTCCCCGGTGGATTGACTCGCTCTTGATCTCGATGGAGCATTTCCTTGGGATATTGCGGAATTCCGTCTTTCAATACCCTAAGGATTCTCCTCACTACTAACAAAAGAGTGGCAAGAAAGCATCGATTCCCTGCATATGGCGAAGTCGAGTTCCGATCGTCAGGCGCCTCCATTTACAAGGTCCACGATGACGTGGCAGAGACGAAAGCGGTCGGAAACGATTGGGGACTGCGTTGCTTCCATTCCGTGCATCGAGCATATTATCGCGGCCTGTCCTTCCATAGAGCACTCGAAGTTCTCCCATTCAACGGGTGAGCTTTTCGAGATAATCCCCAACAGAGATTCGAGCAACGCCCCTCAAAGCCACTTGAACCAGTCCATCGCATTCTGTTCCTCTCGTCCTGGGGGTAAATGAGCGCCATAATTCTATAAGTCCAATTATATCTCGTGGGTCTTCGGACCCGTTCGGATTCCAAATCATCGCATCAGAAATGACGTCCGGGGATGGGATGAGAATCGTAGACTCAATTCTCTATTCGACTGGTCGCGTACTAATTCCTCGAGCGCTACCCTTCCATCGACCCGCCGCCAAAGATTGCTGAGCAATGACACGTATGGATATGCTAGCGGCCAACCCGCCAGATTTCTAGAAACTTCCACTCAGAGCCATAGGCCCCGACATGGCTCTCTCATCCCATTCGTCGTACCGGACCCTTTCCCCCGTCAAATTTAGCGCCCTCACACGGGCAGCTCGCGGCGGTCATATGCCTCTGCCCGCACAAAGCTTCCAACAAGCAACCAGACGGGCCACGTCATCCAGACGGGCTCTTGTTGAAGCCGTTGAGACCCAAAAACGGCCCTTACGAAGGTGAGTTTTTTGATATTTTGTGTCCACCGAGCTATTTACCTCCCCTGCGACAACTTGGAGGCTGGCATGTGGAGCGTTATGGGAGTAGAGTCCTCTACTCTCGTCTGGGGGAAGAATGCCTAGACTGGTAGCGGTGGGGATACGGACTTCAGAGAACAGAAAGCGGGAGTTGGAGCAGCTGTCAGGATTATATTATGTTTGGTTCTTTGCGTACGAGTTTCCCAACGACTCCCGTACAAGTCGAGAGGTCGAGGTGTGGAAAATTCCATATGGCTGCAGTTTTCGCTAGGCCTAATCGCCAAGGCCTAGCGATTCGCACTGGTGTATGTCGACAAACTCATTCAGGTACCGTCGCGGTACCGCGAGGGAGAATAATGGTGTGCGAGTCCCGGAAAGTCTCGGGTTAGAAGCCTACGGGACCCTCGATGATCTACTCAGGAGTTCATCGGCTGCGTTAACAGCATGGACTCACGGGGCAGGCCTAAGTCAAGCAACGAGCGCTGTGTTAGAGACATCGATATGATGTTTATTCATATCTAATGTTCGCTCATTTTGTTCACAGTGAAAGAATGGACAGGTCCCGAGGAGGATACAGAGGAGGAGGAGGAGGCCGCGGCGGAGGGGACCGCGGAGGAGGAGGTCGCGGTGGAGGAGGCTTCCGAGGCGGTGGTCGCGGCAATGGTCGGGGCGGGGGCAATTTCGGGCGTCAAGCCCCCCCGTGTGAGATCTGGAACCCTCCGGAGCTGAGAAGTACCATGAAGATCGCCCCCCTTGCTGCGCCAGCGCAAGGCGAGACCTTGAACCTCCCCGCTGCCGGTGGGGTTATCGCTCTCCAGAAACCGAGAGTTCCGGGGAAGATGACCTGCGCGAACATACAGTGTCTCACGAATTATTACAAACTCAACCTTGGTAAGAGATTCTCGGTTGCGTATTTTTACACAGTCAAGATCACAAGAGTCGGCAGGGCGCCCACAAATCCGAGTACGAAGGTCGAACCCCTGAAACCCGCGGCGGGACCCCGCAAGGAGCGAAAGTTGGGACTGAAGCTCAACAAGCTCATCTTCCGCGAGCTCAGCAGGCACGACGCCGGCGACCAGCTCCTCGCATACGACGGACGTGCGAGAGCCTGTGGCTTAAAACGAATCCCTAACGATGCATTGAATCTCGTCGTCGGTTTCGACAATGATCAATGGGAATTGACGTTGTCATTCGAAAAGTCAGTCCAGCTTACAGGCCTCATGCCTGGGCCCGAGTTCGGCAAAGCCGACGATGAGGAGGAGGCTCTCCTCGGGGTCGCTATCGCTCTGAATCACATGCCAGCGCTTCAGTTCACGCCTCTCGGCAGAGGTTTTTACGGGCTGCCCGGGGAGACTCCGCGGAGCATCAGTGGCGGCTTCGAACTCTGGTCAGGTTACAAAGCTCATGTGATTCCTGGACAAGACAGTTTGTATCTCAACGTGAATTTCGCGATTACGGCCTTCATCAAGCCCGGAGAACTCATCGACTTGCTCCCCGACTTGATTCGTGAGAATTCAGTTCCTCCATCGCTCCACAACAAGCACATTGCCGAGCTGAAGAAGAAACTGACCCGATGCAAGATCGAGTGCGAGCATTTGAAGAGTACTAACAAGCCGAAGAAGATGACCGTTGCCACCATCACCTCGCTGCCGGCATCGCAAATTACCTTCGTAAACCGAGAAGGTCGCACGGTAACAGTAGCGCAGTATTTCGCCGAAACTTACTCTAAACTCCAGTATCCGAACTTGCCCTGCGTCCAAGTCGGGACAGAAAAGCCGAGATACTTCCCGCTGGAGAAAGTGACCGTTCTCAAGGGGAATCCCTACCGTGGTGAGCAGACACCGCAGATGGTGAGCGACATCATCAGACAGGCGGCCATAAAACCCAGAAATCGTCTTGAGGAGATCAGGCACACCGTGAAGATTCTCCGAGGTCAAAATGAACTCCAGAACGAGTTCGACATGCAGATCGGCGAAGAGCTCACCGTTCCAGCCCGCATCCTGCCCGTACCGATTCTCGAATGCGGTGCGATGAACGGCAACCAGCGCAAGACAGTGAAAGTCACTCCCGGAGTCATAGACTTCAGGAGTGATAAGTTCTTCTCGGGCTCGAGGATCACGAAATGGACCGTGGTGATTACGGACGAGCGCGCGAGTCAGAGGGATGTATCAGCATTCGTCGAAGTGCTGCAGAGACAAGGAGCGCAGACTAATGTCCAGATCGCGCCTCCAATGAGGGTCGGCGGCGCATTCTACACGATAAGCGACCGGCTCAGCTTCGAAAAAGTCGAGAAACAGATCGAGTCATTCGGTGAGTGTTCTAGCTTTGCCTTTGCTCTGGGTCATCACAGCAATTAGAGTGCCTTTGGTAAACCGTCATTGAAATTCATTATTCCTTCCCAGTGGGACAAAATGGGCTGGAGTTCGTGCTGTTCGTGATCAGCGAGTCGAGCCCGATTCACGCCGCAATCAAATTTGTTTGCGACGTCAAGCTGGGCGTATCTTCGAAGTGCGTCAAGGGTGCGACTGTCTACAAGGTCACCAACAACCAGCGAGGTGGTCCCGATCAGGTCATCCTGAACATCCTCTATGGTCTAAATCCTAAATTCGACGGTGAGAACGTTCTCGCCGGCTCGCAGGAATTCGCTCGTCAGTTCCTGGAGAGCAGCCCAACCCTCATCATCGGTGAGTACACCACGCGCGAAGCAGGATCCAACATCAAGGATTCTATGATGATATGTCATTTGTTGTTTGTTCCTCTTCCGAATCCGCCCGAAATAATGAAGTGGCTCGCAGAAGCTGACGCGGACCTTGTCCCACAGGAATGGATGTCAACCACGGCCAGGCGAAGGCGAGAGACGGTCACGTCAAGATGCCATCGACCGTGGGTATCGTTGGTACCCGAAACAGGAACGCGACTCTGTACAACGCCTATATGAGGGCTCAGGCGAAGCCACCGAACTCTGCCGACAAGGAAGTCATCCAACCTCAGATTCTGAAAACCGCTATGGACAAACTGCTCCGTGGCTTCCGCGAAGGGTCGAACGCGATCCCTCAAAGGATCATCGTTTACCGCGACGGTGTTTCGAACGGTCAGTTTAACGCCGTGCTCGACAAGGAGCTGAGAGCCATCGTTGAAACTTGCCAGGCGCTCAATAAGGACTACAGGCCCACGATCACTTTCATCACTGTTCAAAAACGCCACGACACCCGGCTGTTCCCGACCAAGGTGACCAAGAACCATAAGGGTGATGAAAAGCAGAATCCGATTGCCGGAACCGTCGTGGACAACACCATGACGGGCTCCAGAGTCTGGAGTTTTTTCCTGGTTTCCCACGAGGGAATTCAGGGAACCTCAAAGCCCGCCCACTACACAGTTCTCCGCGACGAAAACAACTTTACAAACGATCAGCTGCAAAGTCTGACATACTACATGTGTCACACTTACGGCAAGTGCCCGCGTGCGGTGTCGCTCCCCGCGCCCGTCTACTACGCGCATCACGTCGCTTTTAGGGCTGCCGAACTCGGAACCCATCGCTTCTTCCAGGACCCGAGACACAGGGACATAGACGCAAGGACGAATTCGTCCGGACCGAACGGAGCTGTTCAGCTCGCTGAAGATGAGAAATTCGTCCTCAACACCTACAACGAGGCATGCTTGATCTCCGCCAAATACGCGAAGTCGATGTATTTCCTGTAAGCGATCACAGAATCGCGCATGCTCGATTTGAGCTCAATACATCGCGTAAGACCATTATGCTAAGAAAAAACATTCGATACGTTAGGTGGAATGCTTTGATTTTTCCGCAGTATTACCATGTGCATTGAAGGCAGCGGCTCGGAACGAACCGGCGGCTCGTCTCCAGCCGCTTCCAATAGTGCGCCTCGTCTTTATGGAGCAAAGCTATTCTCGCCATTTACCTTTATCGCAACGTCGCGGGGAAAGTCCCGAGAAAAACGACCCCCGGAACGGCAAAGCAAATATTTTAAATCTCTTGTGGTCAAAGCGATAGGAGAGAATACTAATAAAGGATGCTTAAAGTAGAGGAATGCTCGTGTTTTCCCTAATCATGAAATTCAATTCCGCCTTGTCCGGACTCGTGCGAGACGATTCTCCGCCGTGGACGAATCCCGAGACGACGGGTTGTGGGTGAACCTTCGAACTCGATCGGGAGAAGTCCCTCAGGCGTCAGGGAAGAGGAAGGGATTCGAAGATACCGGCATACAGTGAGTCGTCGGCTCCCTCCCCGTATCAACCTCCGCTCAATTTACGTTTGGCTCCGGGAAACGTATGGAGCCGCTTTACAAACGAAAAATCACCTCAGAGTCAGGAGGAGCCCTCGTCATCGAGGTCTCATATCGAAGGCACTCCGCAACGATGCCTTGCCCGCCCCGAATGGAGCCGATGAGGTCTCAAATCGACTTCACTCCATCATTCTGACCAAGACCGGAATGATGGAGTGCGTTGTCATGTATTGCCGGTTACATGTCCATGTATTGCCGGTTGCGGGTACGCTCTCGTCATGGACGTGGAGGCTCTCGGCGGGAAGTTTCCTCCTCTGCCCGGGAACAGATCAATGCGGCAGCTTGATCCACTCAGACGAAATTCTGGCGATGGAGACCAGGATTCCGAGACAAGAGTTTGGCGAGAGTCAGAGAAAAAAATCCACGGGACATCCGCTCCGAATTCGCATGCATACCGAAGCGACGACAAGAAGGGACTGACTGTGAGATCTCGGACTTCGAATGTGCACATGCGTTCCTCCTTCATCGCGATACGCGAATCGAACAGGTTCTCTCAGTTGCCGGCGATCCGGCTCGGTGAAGATAAACACCTCCCTCTTCTTCGCATTGTGGGCTATAGAATCCCAGAGGAGATGTTGACATGGCATCAGAGGAGAGTTCTGGGACTGGCCCTGGTGGAGAGTTTCATGCTTAGTGCGCACTATGCTGTGTTCATGCCTTTCTATCCCAATGTGGCTGAAGAGAAAGGCAACACTCCGCTTGAGGTCAGTGATGCGAGAAGAAAACGACGAAGGACTAGGAGTCAGTATCAATACCCCAGTCCGGACGACCGAGACGTTCTTTGCGAGCCCGACATCGACAAGTGCTTCGGCCTCGGACAGAAAATTTCAGAGACTCCGCATATTCCTTTCGAATAGCATTTCCGGGAAGGAGCTCGCGTTCTCTCATAAGTTGCCTCCCTGAAGTTGCTAGAGATAGCCCGGGGAGACACTCTGAATATGAATGTCACCACTACATATCGGCCGTGGAATCCGGATTGGGAGACTCGGGCGCCGGCTCATGACCGACCTGGACCTCACTCAAAATTCCCTGTGTTCACTTCCAGACTGGGATGTTTTTCGCCGCAGGATCGGTCGTCGGTTTGGTCGGAAGTCCTCTCGTCGGTGTGCTGCTCAAGAGAGGATTCGCTCCGAAAAGAATGGTGACCCTCGGCTTGATTCTGAGCGGAGTTTTCCTCGTGATCCACGGATTCTACAAAGATCTTTTCAAAGGTGGCCGGGAGTTCTTCTACGCGAACTTGGGCACGAAGATCGTCCACTCGACCGGACCCGTCATGGCTACTACTGCAATTTATCCCATTGTTGCCGTGGAGCTCGGAGAGAGCCGCGGAAGATATCTCCCGTTTCTCGAGGCGATGTACAACGGTGGTCTTATGATCTGGCCGTGCGTGGGATCGATACTCTATGATAAGTTCGGCTACACGTTCCCTTTTGTATCGGTGGGCTTGAGCTCGCTGGTTCTTTGCGTCATCTTGATGATCTTCCTCCCGAATCCGAAGAAAGCCGAACTACTCCCTGGCTTGGGGAAAAATTCTGGCGGCTCAACGATGGACTTGACTTTGTTCCTCCTGTTAGCGAATATTGCCATGTGTTACTTGATCATAGGATTCAACGACATAACTCTGTCGACGGAGTTGGCAATTTTCCGCCTGAATCATACCGAAGTGGGTTTTTGCTTCGCCGTTGCTCCCGTGTGCTATGGAGCTTGCATATACATGTGGGGTCTGTTGAGCAAGGCCCGACGTGGCCAGTTCTTGGCGATATCGATAGGATTCGCTCTCTCAGTTGGCGGCCTGTTTTTCTTGGCTCCGTGCCGCCTATTGACAATAGAGCCCACACTTCATGTAAGGCTACTGGGACAAGCTCTAATGGGGATCGGTTTGGCTGCTCTATTCACGTCGAGCATGGTATTCGGAATGCAGTATGTCACGGAGGGACTGAGAATGGACGATGATGTCGCAACTCATGGCTATTTCTCGAGCCTGGTCTTTTTCTCCTTGAGCTTCGGATATGTAGTGGGGCATGCGGGTTTCGCGGGCCTGCTATTGAACGAAATCGGCTATGAGAATGTTATTCTTCTTATCGTGCTAAGTGCCCTCATTTTATTTCTATTCAACCTCATACAGACTTGCATTTTCGAATCAATCCCGAGCAGGAGAGGTTACGAAAGCATCAATGGCACGAATCATACATGAAGCTATTTACCCTGCGTGATTCTATACATCTGACCCTTTTCATCTCTGACATGACTGTCCAAATTCATATGGATGAGAGTCAATAAATTAAGTCCCGACTTCCAAGCTTTAGTGACCCAAATCGAACCTGAGAGCGGGGCTGTAGAGAGGAGTTTCGGTCCCGGGGGGAATTCAGACGAGGGCTCCTCGCATCCCGCACCTCGCATGGTGAGAAAGATTCCCGAATAAAATCGGAGGAACGGGGGTTCAGGTAGAATATAGGAAGAGTCCCGGTCCGTAGCCGGTCACTTCAGGCTCAGAGGATCGATCCGATCTGGACAAATCACTACATGAACTAAAAACACAGTACTTCCCTATCGCAAATCCGCGGAGGAGATTTTCCCCTCAGTCAGCGTGGGGAGAAGCGAGCTTATTAGATCATGTCCCCCTACATTAATGCATCCCCAGCACAGCGAGGGCCTTTTTTTCGCCCTGACGAGCCGCTCCGGCCGCAGACCCGGGAAACGCCGTTCCGAGCTCCGAGAACCCTTGCTGATCTGATCGGAGGAACCCAAAAGGTTTCTAGCGAAACGGTCTGGAGCGGCTCGTTAGGGCGAAAAAAAGGCCCTCGCTGTCCTGGGGATAAATTAATGGAGGGGAACATGATCTAATAAGCTCGCTTTTCCCCACGCTGACTGAGGGAAAAATCTCCTCCGCGGACTTGCGATAGGGAAGTACTTCGTTTTTAGTTCATGGAGTGATTTGTCCAGATCGGATCGATCCTCTGAACCTGAACTGACCGGCTACGAGTTGGTCAGTGATCCTGTCCCTCCCCCACCCAGAACTACCGCGATAAGCGGAAGAAGCCCGTGCTGACGCAGAGGAGTCGCGTTTCAGACAAGATCATCACCGGCGATCATCATTCACTCGACAACAAACATTAGGAGAGCGCCGCTGCTGCTCCACGTGCTTGAGTAAATCCTGGACTGTGTTGTGAGGTTCCTGCTCCTCACCCGATTCGGTGAGTTTGCCCTTCCATGAGCTCTGCGATCGGGGCAGCGTATGTCCTCCTTATTTCCTCTACATCCTTGAGAATACTGCTGAGAAGCCTCCGTGATGAAGGAGTTCCTAGAGGCCCCGCAGCGCGCTTTCGTGATTCATTGGAAACTGTCCAATGGGATAAATCTGGGAGCAGGCCCTTTCCGTTCTCCGGGAGCATGATATACATGATCTTCGGAAGAAGCTCATCGAATGCCGCTTAAGAACGGACTAGGTGTGCTTAAGGCAAACGAACCTTCCAACTAGTCAGCTGTTTCCACGCCCATGGCTGGCCCTTCCGAGAAGACCCGCGACCCCGCTTCATGACACGCGTTCCGTTGGAGGGCCGTTCGGAAGGGCTGATCCCCCTCTCATTCCAGGCCACATCGTGCCAGAGATCAAACATTTGATGAGGTTTCCACGCATTGCAGGATCTCTTCACCATGGGCCGTTTCAACCTTGTTATGCTGCGCTATCTCACGCGGGATGATTTCCGTGTTCTCACGGCTGTGGAGATGGGGATGAAGAACCACGAGCTGGTTCCAGCGTCCTTAGTGGCGGTCATCGCTCGATTGAAACACGGAGGCTGTCACAAGCATCTACAGGAACTCTGTAAACAGAAACTGCTTTCATACGAGAGAGGACGTAAATACGATGGATATCGGCTCACCAACTTGGGATACGATTATCTAGCACTGAAGACACTATCATCACAAGACATCGTCAACTCGGTTGGTAACAAAATCGGCGTCGGTAAGGAGTCGGACATCTACCTCGCGGCCGACGAGGAGGGCAAAGAGATGGTCCTGAAGATACACAGGCTCGGCCGTACTTCGTTCAGAAAAATTAAGGAGAAACGGGATTATCATCTGCATCGGAAGAGTTCATCATGGCTCTACCTCTCGCGCTTGGCAGCGGTGAAAGAGTTTGCTTTCATGAAGGCTCTGCACGAGCGTGACTTTCCTGTCCCGAAACCAATCGCCTTCAATCGCCACTGCGTCATCATGGAACTCATCCAGGGACAAACGATGTGTAACGTACGGGAACTAAACGATCCCGAGTTACTGTACGGGAAACTCATGGATCTCATCGTGAGTTTGGCGAACGCTGGACTAATCCATGGTGACTTCAACGAATTCAACATAATTTTAACCGAGGACGAGGAGCCGATCATCATCGATTTCCCTCAAATGGTTTCAACCACTCATGCCGATGCGGAGTTTTACTTCGATCGGGATGTGCAATGTGTTCGTGAATACTTCCGTAAACGGTTCGCTTTTGAAAGCGATACCTACCCCAAATTCCATGAAGATGTTGAGCGTCAAGACAACCTCGACATCGACACTGAGGCCTCTGGCTTCATGAAGAATATTCGAGACCAGATTCAGGGTGCAATAGAGATATCAGAGGTGAGTCAAGCTTCAGAGCGGCTCGAACGTCAATGAGCATCCGTAGACATCTTTTCCGAAATTCGAACGGTCTGCACTGAATTCTCCGCAGGAAGGAATAGCCGGAGCTACCGACGACTCGGGCGATGACACAGATGGAGATGACGAGGAATGCGGAGACGCTCCAGCTGATGAAAGAGAAGGTAAAGGATCGTCTCCGAAAAACGAAGCATCCGCGTTCGACTGCCCTCGATTGTCGACGTTTTCGATCTCTTATGTGTGTTCCCGAACCAGTCGCCGCTCAAACGAAATTCATCGACGGTCTCTCTTCTTCTTCCAGAGAACCGATACTTGCAACGGTCCATCATGGAGAGGTTCCTCGGCGTCGACGATATTTCCACCGTGGAAGTCGACGGGGATAGGAAGCTGCAGCCCCCGGCCACGGACGAGGATTCAGTCACGTCACCCGCAGACTTCCCCGCATCGGTGATGCCGCAACGTGAAGATGTAGCCGTGAACAGACACTTGGCGCAGTCCATAGCCACCAGCTGTACAATAAGTCCTGAAGATATTCGAGCGAGAACGAAGAAACAATTGCAGCAGAAGAAAAACAGGGACGCGTACAAGAAATCTCTGGTTGTGAAAGGAGAGTCATCAGCTGTGACTAGATCTCGGAGAGACAACAGAGACGTCGTCAAACAGTATGCGGGTTGGGAAGAATTCTAGTTTCCCCTCCCTGTCTGAGAGAAAAGAATGCTGTCGATATTTGTACATTCAGTAGATATTCCCGCGATGCTGCGCGGCTCGTTGATGTATGGAAGCGGGCCCACGGAGCGACGTGATCCGGGCGAGGTTTGTGATTTCCTAGTCTCGTGGCGGCTCCGGCTGAGCTATCTGGGTGTCGGCTGAACTGTCTTGTCTCAGGTCTCCTCGCGCCGGAAACTCAACGAGGAATATGTCAGACTCGTGAATAAAAGCGGGGGTGGGCTGCGCTGTCCAATTCGTCGCTTGAATTCTTTCCCTCCGGAAACACTCGGAAGTTTGGGATGTCCCGATTCTCCAGCACAGCAGCAAGTTCTACGAATCGTCCGCTCCGCCGCGATCGTTCGAGAGCAGAGGAGCTTCTTAGACTTACGTGTGCCCAACGGAGTAGATCATCGTGAGATTCCTCGACTACATGGTGAGTGCCCATGTAGAACTACTCAGGAGGAGATCCTCGCGACACGACTCGGGGCGCAGACCCTATATCCGGCGAATCATTGAGGTTTGTCAGATTGTAGGTGGCTTCAATAAGGATTCGCATCTCTCGACAGTTGTCCCCTGGGCTGGCTTCCGATCTTCCAGGCATTCACTTACTGATCTTGACATCTCGAAAGCCTGTCTCCCCCGGATAATTTCACTTCAACGACGGAAACCATGGAGCTCTTCGCCCGACATCCATGATATCTACCAAACGATTATCCGCAGAATTCCCATCGTTCAGAAACAGGAGACCCCTAACCTGCCAAGATATCTCCAGAGAGGGGCCGGTCGCGATTTTTACCCCTGGAGAATCGCGTGAGCTATGCAGTGATTCCTTGTCCTTTCGGAGTGCCTTGTTCGTACATGAGATCGGGCATTAGCCCCCTCTCTGAAATAAATTCATGAGTGAAGAGGTAGGGCTAGGCGTTTGTGGCGGCCGCCACATCCGCCATGAAATCCGCGATTTTCGGCCGGAATGCCCACCTTCCGCGAATTTCGGTTTTTTTTTCACGGGATAAACATGGTCAGTTTGACTCCTCCCGTGACAGACCCCGCATCCCGTTCGACAGATTTCAAGGGGACCATCGATGGCGAGATATCCTTATCCGCTGCGGACTTCTTCCGCGCCTGTCGCGTATTCGACCCCGCGAAGTTGAAAACAATCGAGATCGAAGCCGGCTACGTCATCGAAAATATACTGTAGTTCGAGGATAACGATCCGGGGAAGGCTGAACTCCGACTATACTTGTCGGCCAAGAGAAAACTCGAGGCTTCGTCTCATCCGATAGTTTTGTGGATAAATGCGACGGCTCGTCTTCCCGAATTGGCGAAGATCGCTCTGACTTGTCTGAGTGTACCCGGCAACAGTGTTTCGGCTGAGAGATCTTTCAGGAAATGCGCGACTAGACGGAGAATGAAAAGCAAGAATCTCAGCATGTACGATATGCTTAATCATAACAGTGACGAAATGTGAGTTCTGGTCCTAGCTTCAAGCCCCCGAGGTAGCATAAGGAAATTGACGAAAGCAGACAAACATAAGCATGAGCTTTCGTTTTGCTTGTTCGGAGCCATGAAGCTGCCCTTGTCTTTTTCCCGACTTAGCGCGATTCGTCGACAAAGCATCCGCCATAAGTCCGCGATTTTTGCTGGGGAGATCCGCCACAGGTCCGCGATATTCCCGAAAAAAGTCCGCCACAAACGCCTAGCCCTAGTGAAGAGTGTTCGCGTTAGAGAAGAGTTTATACATATAATCGATATTTCCGCGTATTATGCACGATGGAACGTCGATTAGATCAAGCCTCCATCACATCAAGCGTTATTTGAAATCATCATCGGTTGATAAAACCGAGGTTCTGCTGCAGCAAATCGAAACCGCAGGCTTATTCCGTTGCTCTCCGCATCATCCGCAACTCCGAACACCCGTCGCCTCGAGCCTTTCCCTCACATTGACTCACTGTTCCCCGCTCGACCGCTGCGCGTCCTCCGGTTATCTGTTTCGGGACGTTCGGGTGCGAATGTGGCATCTTTGCATAATTACTCGTGTCTTCATAATTTATTATGAGTGGACTGCTTGACTGATCCGATGCCACCCGGATGAACATCGGTAGCGCCTTCTCGCGGCTTTGGCGGGTCCCGAGTGAGACAGGCTGCTCCGACCATCGCCTTCCGGCTCCAATGCCAGGAATCAGCCCGGCGTTCTATCACAGTGCGTAGTTCCGGAAGCGCGATGGAGGACTTCCGCGATCTTGAACATACCGTCCAGCAGAAACAAGCACGAAATCGTGATCGAGAATCCCGAAACAGAAGAAGCGCTCAACGACTCCTAGAAAAAATCCCCGGTGTATGCGAGGGAGCTGATTATTGTTCAAGATACTGGTTCAGCGTCGATTCTCACGTCGGAAAGCCGGAGTTGTTCCCACGGACAAGAGTTGAAGTTCCTCCCCGCCCATGACCGGTGACGCTTAGGTATGTCTCCGATCCAAAACTAGTCTAATGTCGTTCGCTCATCATTCTGCGATAGAGAGACAAGACGAGGACGCGTGACAATAAGGGGAAAGCTCGGTCTCCGGCATCGATTTTGTGTCCACAGGGGTGCTGCGGTTCCGGAATCATAACTCGTCGAGCTGTGGGACCGCAACCGTCTCAGGAAGAATTTGCAGCCACTTCCCATACGAACCCAGCTACGGCAATCGATTGTGGCGTCAGAGCCACTGTTTATAGATCAGGAATTCTTTGCGGCCTACTGAGTTTCCTCAGGCAGCAGAGACAAATGCTCTAAAGAGACACCATCGCCGGGCGAGAGAGCGAGTAGATATCAATCCCAGGACCTCTGATTCGTCCGATTATCTGTCGGGGACGTCCCATACTTGAGTATGGGCGGACGGCGAACTCTCCCTGAGGTAGGCCTGGAATTCTACGGAACTCCTACGCTGTCCGGATGAATCACCGAGCGCTGATCTCGGGCCAGGCGCGATTCCCTGCTTGATATTTTCAGGGGAGACCTTGGGACCTGCGAGGTTTCCCATGCGCCTGTGAGCGTAGAGTTTCCGTCGCGCCCCGGAATTCCGAAGCGAATATCGTTCACAGACTCACGTCTTCCCGAAGCGCGACGTAGTCTTCGGACCCAGGAGACCTTGGAATCATTTTCGATACGATTGGTAAGGCGTTTATTCGACGAGGCGGTTGCGTATTGCTCGCTGGATCGCCATCGATCTCCGGAAACGAATCGGAAAAATCCTCGATCGGTCAAGCCTGGTCGAAAATCGCGTGCGTTGCCCTCCGACATATCCGCCCGTGACGAGAAGTTGTTCCAGCAATCTCCCAGGTGATCTCTTATTGTCCAGAAGCATTTCAACCCTATTCCGGCGTCCGTCGCTTCGAGGCCGGATCCTTCGAAGTCAAATTTCCGCGCCTTCGCTTCGAGTCCGCTGGTCTGGCGGACGGCGTCATGCGACTCTGGCGGCAGCTCCTTTCTATGGGCTGTGAAGAGGAAGAAGTGCTTTGGGCCGTTGCTGCTTCTGCTGGGCTCTGATTGGCTGCGAGTGTTGTTAGCGCCGGCTAGCAGCCGTTGGTGAGAGGGAACGCGCCGACTGGTTGGTCCGCTCCCGGTTGGTAGCTTGCTTGGTGTCCTCCGCCGCTCGCTGCTTAACTCGCTGGCTGACTATCTAGTGCTTTTGGTGGGGCTGCTGCTGTGAATTGAAAACATCGCGGCGGCGTTGGCGGCGCTGCTGCTGTCCGACTAAAGAGTGAGCGAGAGCGAGAGGAGCAAGCTTCTTCACTGACGTTGTCCGTTGGTTTGGTTGTTCGTCCGTTTGCTCGTTCGTTGGTTTGTGCCTTGGTCAACGATCATTGTCTCCCGGTGTTCGTTCGCTTCTTACTATAATTGTACAAAATGGTGAGTTGCTAAACCCCTAGCCTTAGCCTGAGATTGGCCGGAGACATATATTTTGGGGATTTTCGCACGATTTCGGTCTCACCCGACGGGATTCACGCCGGTCATACGGGCTGGTTTCGGTTGTTCCGATGCAGTCCTAGAGCCTGGCATGCGTTTTTCCATGTGATCGCTCTCGCGAGAAACTCGAGACACCCCTCGGGCTGCGTCTCGGGGCATTTGTTATCGCCCTTATATGTTTCGTTCTGAGGATTACCACGCAGCCTGGTGATTTTGCCGCTCACGTCCCGATTCAGACAATTGATGAAGCGTTCCCCACCTCAAACTTCCTCGCCTCTTCGATTTCCCCCCAAGTAACCGCGCGCTATAGTCCGGGGAAGAGCATACTGCGGAAAGAAACCGAATATTTTGCGTTGGGGAGGCTTGATCCCGAGGGTATCTTTGAGCGCGCTGTCGCTTGGCGCCAAAGAGAATCGATGGCGGGATGAAAGTAGGCGGGATCTTCCACGTTCGCACGACATTTGTTCGTCACTTTTTACGACAAATTCACATCGAAGCCGAGAGGATAACTGATTCGAACACCCAAGAAAAGCTTCTCGATGGTTCTAACGCATGTTCTATCGCCCAACAGGCAGGAGGTAAAGCTGGAAAGGATTCAGGAAAGGCGAAAACCAAAGCTATCTCCCGATCCGCTCGTGCCGGTCTTCAATTCCCGGTCGGTCGTATTCATCGTCACCTGAAGTCCAGGACGACTTCCCACGGCCGTGTCGGGGCAACGGCAGCTGTCTACTCCGCAGCTATCCTCGAGTACTTGACTGCCGAAGTTCTGGAATTGGCTGGAAACGCCTCGAAGGATCTCAAAGTGAAACGTATCACTCCTCGCCATCTTCAGCTTGCCATCAGAGGGGATGAAGAATTGGATTCGCTCATCAAGGCTACCATTGCCGGTGGAGGTGTGATCCCTCACATCCACAAGTCGCTCATCGGCAAGAAGGGAGGTCCGCCTGGCGCTCCCGGTCAGGGCCCCAAGGCTCCTTGAGGCGGTGGCGAGTCTTGTCGATAATGTCACCGCTCATCATCACGCTAATTTTCCTCGCGATTTCATTTGGTTCTCCCATAAAAGCTATCAACTGCGTATCAATGTGCCCTCTTTCCGAATAACGAGTAAACTTTCTTCTTGAATCATACAACCCTCATGCTATCATAGCCGAAAACGTGTAGAAGCCCACCGAGCGATATGTAGAAGCTCGGCTTCCATCATCTTCCTTTGTAAACAATATTCAATGTGTCAGATGGTCAATCCGCGCGATCTTGTATCAAATCACACGTGTATCCATCGAAGCTGCTTGACTAAAACGTGTTTTGTACTCTATTTTCGGCGAGCTCATTGATTTCTTCAGGGGTGCTTTTAGGGTTGCATGAATGCATCGAGTCGGATCGATTCTGGCTTAGGGCCGGATCGCGACAGTCTGGAAGATTCTCTCGCTCACTCGTCTTCTTCATTGCTCTAATTTTTTCGTGGGAATGATCGGAATCATACAGAGCGATTCACAAAAGACAGTCGGGAGCAGAGCAAATCAGCTCCGTCTGGAGCTATTCTGGATTAAAAGTGAGGGATAGGAGGTTGGAACTCCCAAGGGGAACAAACTCTGTCTGCCCGAAGACTTGGAAGGAACAAACAGACAGACCGAATCTTCATCGAAGAGCCGAAATCCTTCAATGAGATGGCCACCTGAATGGATGAAGTCCGCCTGCTACTAGATGATGAACGCCCCTGGGGATTATCGGTCACCACGCGCTACATGTCCGTATCGGGACCTCTACACGCTTTTGTCGACAAGCCAAAACAATCCCAGATGATTTATCGACGAGCGTAGCGCCTTCGGATATCGGATCGAACATGAAATCTTATGGATCGTCCTCGATCATATGCTTTTCCGAGAGACCCGTCTCTATAGAGCCTCGAATCACAGAGTGACTCTCACCGTGCCGAATCCGAATCTCATAAAGCGTCAGTCTTGCTCTGAACGGAACAGTGTCCGCTCTCAAGGCCGCCTGGGCTCGGATCCCTCAAGAGAGAGAAAGAGGTGTCTGCGTGGAAAGCTTGCGGTCTTGAAGAAGCATCGGCTCGGGGTAGATGAGTTGGAGTGCTTGGCCGTTTCCGAAGGTGTCTGTGGCATTGGCAAGCAATGCCTTGCCCGAGACGTATGCTGTCGAGGTGCCGCGTGCTTCAGCCGATGTTCTCTATCCAAATTTCGAGACAAACTACATGCCTCTGGGCAAGGTTTCCAAGCCCCTCCAAGGAGCATCGGAAGTTCGGAGAGATTCGCTTCGAATCCTCGAAATGGTCCGAGCGCGCGAATCTAACTAGACGCATTGAGTCGAGGCCCCCGATCCGGCCATCCGCTCGCGTTTGGTCGGAAGGCTACCAGAGAAAAACTGGAGCTCCAAGCGCGGCGGTATGCATGGCTCTTGATGCTGAATTATTCGAAGCTTCAATGTGAGAGAGGGCGATAATGTTGACGACTCCTGGAGAATCGGATCGAAAACAGTCTCGGGCATGATGGATAATACCATGAGGATCGGAAAAGAGATTCGAATCATCGGCGGAGGAGGGACTGGAGCGCGTAAATGCATGACGTCTCCGCATTGTCACACTTCTGCATTCGAGGATGCGAATTATCTTCTCCTTTCTGATCATCCGTATTTCAAAAGGCCATTTCAGAGCTCAGAATGAAGTCATGATTTGTTTGCTTCGCATCTATACATCGAGGTTTATTCCTGTCATATTTACAATTCCCCCCCATGGGATTGAAGTATGTACATACTAGCGGTATACATAACTACAGAAATAATGCTGGAACGGATTTATATGAATCTATGTAGACTATCCGGCATTCCACGCGAAATCACGGCAGATTCCTCGGAAGTCTCCCCTTGTGGCTCAAACAATCCCATTTCCAAATAAATTATGCGAGGTCAATAAACTATCTACGTTCAACCGTAGCGTCAAAGGTCTGGCTGGGGCGACACCGGTCGGGTAATTTCCTCTACCCTGAACGAAGCTCATCCGTCGGAGACTTCCGAACGGCATCATCCCAGCCCGGCCTTCTCCCGCTTGAGGTTTCTCGCAGGGCAAACCCCGAACGGAGTTCAATGGAGTGGATCGATGATCTAAGAGTCTCGCATCGGGAAGACTCCGGGGCAGATGGATCTTCAATCCTTGACTTTCGAAGTGTTTTTCAACACTGATCAACAAGATTCCTCTTCCGTCATGGGAACAGAGCGCGGAGCGTCGAGCGACCATCATAGTGAAGGTACGATGGTCTCCTCATGGCTCGAATTGACTGTGGAGCATCGATCGCTATCCTGAGTGTTGCTGTCTTCCACGGCAGCCTCGATGGGGCCCACAGGCAAAAGACCTTGATTCCGGAGCTGCAACTGTTGTTGTAACTGGTGCTGCTGCTTCTTATAATTATTCTTCAAGGTTTGCCGCTTGTTGCAGAACCAGACCCGAACAACTTCTCTATCATAACCAAGTTGAGCAGCAAGTGCGTTCATTTGCGGACCGGAAGGATGAGTATTCTCCTTGAAATAGGTGTTCAGCACGGTTATGGCCGACGGTGCGAAGGATGTTCGTCGCTTCCTCTTCTTATTCGAATCCACTGCTGAATCTGAAAGAGAACTCATCATCATCAGGGGGGGATCGGATGCAAAGGAATGAAATCGCGATTGAGAGAGCTTCGGCTAGTGGGCGAACACGCTAAACCTACCCGGTAGGTCTACAACTTCACAAGTAGCACCACTTGCACTGAATTTTTCCTCCATCTCTTTCATCCATCTTTCAAGGACCGGCTTGATTTTCTGAGCTGATTTTGGCGTGATGTCCAATTTTTCGAAGCGACAGATTGCGCTCTGTGAATAGGAGGGCCCTTCGGTCGCCGACAGCAGCATGCCCACCCGCGATTGGGTCAGACCCAATGATAAACGCCTCATTTTGAATGCTCGAGCGAAGTTTTTAATTTCCTCCAAGTTGATGCCATCAACGATGTTCGCTTCTGTCGAGCTTATCACTGCAAATCAGTCGAGTGAATTAGAGCCATTCTATGAGAGGAATTCCCACATGTCTTTCCTGATATTCCGACGAATGATTCCATTGATTCCTGGGACGCTCGTGGGAAGCAATACATACCTTGCTGCTGCGTGTCTTTCGATTCATCGGTTTCTGCCGATTGCGCTGAGCTGGGTCTCTCGTCCGCTGAGTCCCCTTGGGCCGGAGGTGAGGGCGAGAGCGGTGGGATATTGGGTGCTGATGGTACGACGATACCACAATGCGAGTTCCGTTGAGGGTGTTGCGGCAGCGGACGCCAAGCCTCGCTGTCGTCGCCGGACGAGAGACGTACACGCTTCGGTTGGCATTCTGGAGCTTCCTGCTTAATCTCTGACTTCAGACAGGAACTCAACGAAATGTTGTTGGTTCCCGCTGGATTCAGGGGATTATTAGCATGGATGATCGCGGGTGGCACATCTTGTAGCTGCTTCATTTTTAGCTGAGTTATCGATTCGATCGGCTCTGCCCTGATCACCCGGCTGATCCCCGTCTCAATATGTCGCACTTCTGTCGTATTATTGGCGGTACTGATGACAACTGACATCGTTGTACATTGGGATGCAGGAAGGGACGGGGTCGACGTCGTCGTCGATGGAGGAAGTTTTTGATCGTTTTTCAAGGACTTTACCACGCTTTTGTTCAAGTTAGTAGACTGAATATTCGGATTAGACTGCTGTAGAGTGCGACTAGATGTGACTTTCCAATTGCTTTTCGCGTTTGACGATAGATTCTGTTGCTTGGGCGACGTTTGTTGTAGAGTCTGGCCCCCGACGTGACCGGGTACCGTGCCGACAGTCGACGCGGTCGAGTTTTTCGTTCCCGCCGATAGAGTTATCGACTGCGGTGACGATTGATTGACCTGCGCACTGGCGACTAAATTGTTCAAGCCGCTAATTTGAAGTTGCGGCAAGTGATTGTTAGGTATCACGATCGCTTTCTGTCCGCCACTCAGTTGAATTTCTTGGACCCGGGTCGCTTGAGATTGCAGATGCTGTTGCGGCGATTGTTGGATCTGCTGTTGCTGCAGTTGCTGCTGCTGCTGTTGTTGTTGCTGCTGCTGCTGCTGCTGCTGCTGTTGTTGTTGTTGCTGCTGCTGCTGCTGTTGTTGTTGTTGTTGTTGTTGTTGTTGCTGCTGCTGCTGCTGTTGTTGGTGTTGCTGTTGTTGCTGCTGCTGCTGTTGTTGTTGCTGCTGCTGTTGTTGCATTGCAATGATGCTCGAGCTCTGATTTTGTCCATGGTTGATGTGAACGATTTGCCCCTTCGACGCTTGGTTCGGCTGTCGCGTCAAGGTCACACATTGTTGTTTCTGATCGGCCTGGATGTTTTTGAGAGTTGAGGCCGACGCCAGGCTTGCAGGTACGGACGTGGTCGAAGCCGGTCGTATCGTTACGTGAGACATTTCTTTGCGCGGAGATATTTGGGGCGTTTGATACTGGATCGTAGCGGAGTTTTGGGCAAGAGCCGCGGGGTTGGCAATGGTAAACAGCTGACCTCCGATCGATACAGGTATCAACTGCTGCCCACTAGGATTCTGGATTTGAAGCTGTTGGCTTTGACCGCTCCCAGCGAGAGTGATCGACGCGTTCTGCCCGATTCTGACCGGCTGTGCGCCCTTCGGTAGCTGCGAAGCCTGGAGAGACGTCTCCTGGATTGAGGCTCGAGAAACGACAACCTGATTGGCATTGGCTACGATCTGATTCTGCTGTTGTATAGTGGAACTATTCTGCTGAGGAAGCTGCACGTTCGTCAAAGACGGCGCCTGATCCTGATTGGGAGCGGATACTCGTTGATCGACGATCTGTAATTATCACCGTACGAATCTCATTAGCAAGGAGAAAATCGGGATCAGTCTTTCAGGTGATTGATTGCTTGCTCATGTGCACAGACGCGAATCGGTTAATCGTGGGGAACTTCCGCGAGATCGCTCGGCTGTGCTCAGACAATGGGGAACTATAAAGGATTTCCTATAAAACTCACAACGTGTTGGGACTGTTGCAATTTGATTTGCCGAACCACCTGAGCTACTTTAGCATTTGCAATCTTTTGCGTAGTTGTTTGAAAACCCTGAGTAGTTACTTTTGGAGGTGTCGCGGAGCACGGCAACGCATTAGAGAACTGCTTCGGTTTCGGAGCGATCGGTAGAGGAGATTTCTGCGCGGAGCTGATGGCGACCGTAGGCTGATTGATGGCGGGCTGCTGTGTCGTGAAGGTGGCGGCGGGCGCGATCGCGTCGTTTGCAATGATAGAGTTCGCTGAACCACTTTGAGGTAAGCAAGCCATTTGAGTAGCTTGGGCAGTCTGGAAGAAGAATTCATGATTAATCCGAGATGGATGGACTATGGTCCCCGATGCGCATCTCGAACAAATTTTATTGTATCTTCACATTCCCTGCATCGTCGACAGAATTAGGTTCTTTCGTGAGGATTTCTAAACAAATGTGGGTGCGATACAACATACAACGAGCTTGGTGATGAATCCAGAATTAGCCACATTCATGACGAAAAATCGAGGGTTTAGTAAATTATCTAAAATCTTGGAATATCACTCCTTTCTCGTTGATGACCCGGCGATGTTTGGCGCTCATGTCATTCTCGCTCAGAGGATGTTCAAGACCCACCACTGAAACTATTCCTAAATGCGGGCCCTATCGGCTAACTTTTAGGACATTTCGCCGACGAGAGAGTCACGCGGGAGAATCTCTTGATCATTCGTGATGCTCGATCCGTATTTCTGTGATTTGACGTTCCGACTGGGAGGCACCTCCTCGAGAGACACGGAACGGAATCGAGGATACAGCCTAGACGATGCGGGCATATACATCGTTGGACGTCGTGGAGGACAACTCAAGGCGCGACACATCGAAAGTCTTCGAATCGAGCCCACCAACTTCCGCGACGAGCCGAGTGCTTCCTCGGAAAACCGAGGATGTCGACCCCGCGCTACATCGAACGAGCGAATGCGAAACACATAAGAAATGATTAAACACATGAAAATGATTGTCCACGTGACGCGATCAACGACCTCGAAAATCTCGCGAGACCTTGAATCCATCTAACCTATTCCATCTCCTTAATGACTGAATGATCATGGACCCATCTCTCGCGGGCTCGTGACGAATACTCAACGAGTGAGATTTCCAGGATCTGCAGCTTCCCACCGATGCGATAGAGCAAACGAGATCAGATACGAGCTCGCACGCTTGAGAACGCAACTTACCGGCGCTGCCAACTGTATTGTTGGCTGATGTTGTTGCGCAGCCAGCTGAGGTCCGATGTTGACGATTTGGCCATTCGACAATTGGATGAATTGGCACCCCATCGAATGAGTGGGTATACTGGCTTGAGCAGGGGCTGTGATTGCGATCAATTGGCCAGAAGGAGTCGCGAAAATTTGTTGTTGGGGAGTCGCGGAAGCCTGCTGCAAGGCGGTGGCCGCCAAGCTCAGAGTTTGACCACCGGCTAATTGCTGCGCTCCTCCAGCCAGTGTCAGTCCATCTGCCGGCGTGGCTGAAGGTGCGCCAATGTTCGAGAGGGCCGTCGAGCGATTCGGAACGTTAGATACTGTGTTGTTTGACCCTATATTGTGCGTTGAAGTCTGCGATTCCGAAGAAACAGTCGTCGGTGACTGTTGCTGCTGCTGTTGTTGTTGCTGCTGTTGTTGTTGCTGTTGCTGCTGCTGTTGTTGTTGCTGCTGCTGTTGCAAAGCTTGAAGGATTGCTTGCTGTTGTAGCGTAGCGAGGAAATGCTGCTGCTGAGCTTGCAACAACTGAGCCAGAGGATTGGCCGCGAATATGCTGCCGTTCGAGGCGACCATCTGCACAACACCCCCAGCCGTGGCTGTCGCCGGGATGACGCCCGTAGCTCCTCCAGGTAACTGAATGATCTGGGAGGTCCCATTGGCTCCCGGCAGTAGAATTTGCTGACCTCCTTCACCGGAGAGAAACAAAGCTGTTAGGGATGAGTCCCCGTTGAATAGAATTTATGAGATTCATCCAGCGAAGACAAGGATAAGGAAGGACCAAAAGCGACGTTTGGACCCCGACTTGGCGCTTCTGAGGTTGGTCCCACTCACCTAAGACTAGACCAGCGGTATTCGAAAGCATTTGAGGTTGAGCAGCAGCCAACACGAAGGGCTGCTGAACTTGAGCTGTTGCATTCGATTGGGCTGAGATACTGTGGACTTGATTGTTCTGCTGCAAGCTTTGGTGCTGCAGACCGCCCGGATGGCTGTTTTGAGCCGCGTTGCCGGACAGACTTATAGCACTCGGAGTCAATTGCAACCCGCTCTGCTGCATTGGAGTAGATAGAGTGGCACAGCCGTGATTGGGAGTTGGATTCTGCTGTACCGAGGTTTGAACCACGAGGGTTTGAGCAGGTACCTGTAGGGAATCGAGGTTCTTACTGCATTGCATCTCAGAATACAGTCGTCAACGCCGCTGATCATGTTGCAACGCTACGTTCGTCGCAGCTCCACGGTATAACTCACCTGGGTTTGAATTTGCTGCTGCTGCTGCTGCTGTCGTTGTTGCTGTTGTTGGAGTTGCTGTTGCTGGGATTGCTGTTGATGATGGCTCGCCGTACTCTGCGTTTGGGCGTTCGCTGAAATCGTTTGCCTATGTATCTGGATGCGGACATGATTTTGCGGCTGTTGTTGCTGCTGCTGCTGTTGTTGTTGCTGCTGCTGTTGTTGTTGCTGCGGCTCGATATGGTTTTGCTGCACGAAGTGCTGCAGTTGGACCTGGTGCGTGCCCTGAGACAGATGCTGTTGTCCAATTTGTTGTAGCATCTGTTGCTGGAGATTATGTAATTGTTGTTGTTGCTGCTGCTGTTGTTGTTGTTGATGCTGCCGCTGTTGTTGTTGCGATAGCTGATGTTGCTCGATGCGTTGCATGGCTTGCTGTTGTTGTTGGACGTGTGAGTTTATCTGCCCGACTCCCTGCATCAACAAGGGCATTTGCTGAAGCTGCTGCTCCTGCTGTTCCTGACGTTGGCCGATGACCAGGTGATTCTGCGAAGCTGTCTCCGCAGAGATCGTTGAATTCTGACCCACCAGACCTTGGGAATCTTGAGCCGAAGCCTGCAGAACGAGCTGAGGGCTATGCAACAAACCTTGCGGATGTTGTTGCGACGCCCGGTCTTGAGCCAAGATGTGCTGCTGCTGATGTTGTTCTTGTTGGGAGGGGACGTGCTGCCCATTGACCAGTGACTGCTGATCGCGCTGTTGCTGGTCTATTTGTTGCTGGAGATGATGGGCGTGAATTTGTTGTTGTTGACTTTCGTCGATTGCTGATATCGATGTCTGATGCGTCAATTGGCCCAGGCTGGCGTGCAGCTGATCCAAATGATTTATGTGCCCCAAGGTCTCTTGCGGAGTCTGCTGCTGGCCGCCGAGATGATGCTGCTGCTGCAGAAGCTGATTGCATTCCAGTAGCTGAGCCAGCTGAGTCTGAAAGGGGGTCGAGCGCGGTTATTTCACCTCCTTCGACCGTCGGCTTCTTGATCGATTTCGAACGAGATAGTCTTCCAGTCCCGCGCTAATCAACGTGAGGAGTCACCGTACCTGGTTGTGACCTTGATCATCATATGGCTGTGTACTGTATTGATTGCTTTGAATTTGAGTGAAATTGTCGTTGGCCAGTATTTGACTCATGGTATCCGAAGAGGCATCGACGTGATGATGCTCTTGCGAGACATCAAACGTCTGATCGAAGCTGGAAGAACACAGGAGACAGGGTTAGAGTTGAGGCCCAGCTTGATGAACCTAAGCATCTGAGTTCGCCTATTATACCGGTCTCGACTCACTGTGACTGGTTGGCGTAGACTCCACCAGAGGAGTCCGAGAGCTTGAAGTCGTGCTGGCCGAAATCGTGTGATTCCATGACGACATTGCTATTCTGCTGAGCGGAAGCGCCGTTCTCTCCAGTAACCTGTTGTACGCACTGTTGTTGCAACTGGCGGATCACGTCCGTGTACGCGTCCTGAGGCTGCGACATCTGACCGTGAGCCGATCGGAACGGCCGTTCGGTGCTCGCTTATGATTTGGCCACTGGAAGAATCGAGGAAGGGATTGGTCTCAGGGAGATATGGTCGTGCGAACATGGAACATCAGGAATCCCTATCTCTGAAATCGTTCCGGGAACGGACAGAAGATACACGACTCGACCTATACGGCAGTCTGAGCTTGGTGAAGAATATTCTCAATTTTTCAGATCATGCGAGAATTGTATCTTTTCGTTCCAACTCTGATAGATCTCAATGCGTGGAGCATCTTCTGTGTTGGGATAGCAAAAGCCTCTGCTTAGATCTCCCCGCTCTCCGATAGCCCGGAGAACCCGCAATCGGTTCTCGAACTCTCGTCTACTCCGGGGAAAAACGCTCATTTCGTTCGTCGGAATCATAGCCGATAATCGCCGCATGCAAATATCGGCAGCGAATCGTTAGCGATGTCGGGGAGTTCTCCAACATAACGATGCTTGAGTCATAATTACGATAAATATAATTATGATTCCCGTTTTATGCTCGCGTGGAAGAACGAGCGTTTCGATAGACGGCTAACGCGACGAAGACTGCGCAGTATGTGAGCGCCATCTTAACTCTACCGACCATGGCCTCGCCCAATACGTTCCTTCGTGTTTAAGCAAATGCAGCCTCATTGATTTGCCGCGACATAAGTCTGTCAGCTGAACGCAAATGCTTCCTCGCGAGGGCCTGTATAATATCTAATCTATATTAAGAGAAAATCAACAATAATATGGCGGTGGCGTTGGGGGCCGTCCCAACCGACTAATTTATGTTAATGCAAGCTGCAAAACGGATTCGACTTTTTGCGACTTCAAACTTGCCGAACGACGTCCCCGGAGAAACGCCGCACTGACACTCACTATATCTGTGATGGGCACTATCGGACGTCCACGAAAAGTTCTCCAAAACAGCTTTTTTAAAGCACATACACAGAGCACAAACAGTCAGGCCTAACACTAAGCATTATGCCACAATTCGGCGCCATAGTGAAACTCGATTAGTGCCGACGCGATCCTGCTCTCCCGTTGGTCTATCTCGTTGCAACGAGGGCTTCTCCCGGCCGAGGATCGAGCTCATCTCCCTCGGAGAGAATGGGACGGGGCTTGTGCCGCCACATGAGAGACGCTCCGTTCTCTATCTGATGATAATATCTGTCCGGATCCACCTTGCATGAATATCCCGTCGGAACTATCGTGACGCGTCGAGAACGGTCGCATGACAGCTAGATCCTGCTATCGAGGGCGAATCCCGCGATTTCAAGGAGCTCTAGGGCGCTCCGAGACTGTCGCTCGGAGAGCTTGATGGCCTGAGTCTCGACTCCGGATGCACAGCTTCCCGACCGAGGGGTTGAATACTTTCTCCTGCTTTCCTATCCGATGAGAATAGCATTATGAGAAGCATGCCGCGGTTGTTGCTGACGATCAGCTCCGTAGACGAGAGCCGTCATTGGCTCGCAAATGTTCCGTCACTGGTTTCGGTTAGCAGACAGTTTCAGAGAAAACACGGATTTCATTTTCATATTCACACGGAGGTGGTGGCGAAGGGCCGCGAGGTGAGCGGGTGGGCTGATTATACGGGCTTCCGCCTCGAGAGATCGCGATGAGCTCGGACTGCTCGCATGTCCTCCCCTCGCATTCATTATGAGCATGGAAAGACAAGAGCGTATTTTCGGGCACGCGGGATAGGTGCCCGATTTGGGTACCTTCCCTCCCCAAAATAATTTCGGAACAAGCAGCGCACGCCGCCGGGGGAGTCTCCGGGTCTTCTCTGATCTCCTGCTCTTTCCGTGACCGGGGAGAGACTCGACTCCAGCGGTCGGATATTACCCGAAAGCCGTTGCGTAGGATTCACGGTATGAAATGAAGATTTCACCTGAGCCATTGCTTCCTGATGCCGCCGCGTTCGAGGCCGCCGACAAGGGGGTGGCTACGCGGAATGGAATCGTGAGATATCATTACACGATATCATCGTAACCATATCACGTGGTGAGGGATCGAAAACTCCCCTATCGTAGATCGAACATCACCGCATGCCCTCCTTCTAATAACCAAACATCAGACATGCAGGAAAACGACTCGCTCGGTGGCCAGGAACGACCGCATCAGGGCGAACAACTCTTTCTGAATGGACGCTCGGTCAGACGAAGCAAAGGATGAAGGAGGATAACGAAATTATTATTCCTAATGTTCGATAAGGCTCAGATAAGGTCGACTCGCCACACTCCATGCGAAGTTAAAAGAAACATGTGTCATGGAAGCTCCCCTCAAGGGAACGGATGTTCGTGCCGTGTTCCCCCAATTAACTGGAGGTTCCATGCTCCATTGGGAGGGCACGCCCCAATCGAAGGATAGCTCCAGGGGGCGCTGGGAGATTGAGCGGCATCCCTCAATCCGAAAGTAATATCGCGCACAGGGGGAATAACTTGTAGTTTCCGTATATATGATCCGATAGATCGTGATCAACGTAGCACGTGATAATGTTTCATCGTCAATCACCCTGTGACGCTCTTGCTCGACAGAGCTCGAGACAGGTCCGGTATCTTCCTATAGCACTGTTGGAATTGAAAGGCACGCTCTCATTGGCGGTCACCAGCCCTGCGGGAGGCCTGAAAATTTGTGGGAAATTCCCTTCAATTGGAGGAGATACGGTATAAGCGAAGCGCGCAGGATTCTCTTGCGCACTGCTCTTTTGCGAGACGCTTCAGATCGCTCGCAGGAGCAGCGCTGATTCGGTCACGTGCTCCTAAGTTGACCGGTCAGCGATCCCCAGAGTCCACTCGACGTCCATCAGAAAGGAGGAAATCGGTTTCGTCGTGCGGATCGTGCTCCCCGGAAATGGTATGAGAGCTTCTATGCCCTTCCATGTACGTATACGAGAATCTCCGCCCCTCCGCGCTTGAATTGTGTCCCTCTGGCGGCCTGTTCCGCGAGGACCAGTCGACAATAAAATGTGTACGCATGAATGTCCCCCCTGATCGTCCAGAGAATTTCATACAGACGAATTATGTACTGTATGTATTATACTGATTTGATTGTACTCTGACTCGAGTATCGAGAAAGCTGGCGAATGATTAGATCCCGATCACCGGCATAGGCACCTTCGTGATTGCGATTCGGGCTCGGGGATGATTGAGGTGAAGCGCGTTCAGTGCGCTATCACCGAGAATTCGAACTCCCTGGCTCGGCACATCGCTCGTTGCAGGTGGCCCACCTACGGGTCATCGATATCTGCCGAGTAGCATTCTCATGGTTCCATAGTTTCATCGATAACTACCAGCCCGCGATACTACGCAACACGAACACATTGTATATCTGAAGGCTTGCTTTCCGGCACATCCCTTCCCTCCATACCTTGTCCTGCGCTCCCCGAAATTTTTGTTCCACCAGTCTTTGGCCCTTCACTCGGGAGCGGTCGTCCTTCATCTGTGTATACCGCGGGTATTGCCCCTTAAAGTTATCAATTTCGCGCGGCACACAAAGCCACGACTGGCTCTCTCTGAGCGTCGGACAGCGTAACCACTGACACGATCGCTCTTGGCCCTCTATGAGCCTTCATTGAGCAAATATCAGCCAGGTATCGGACTCTGCTAGGAGTTTGTTTTGTCTCAGACGATGATTTCCGGGTATGTTGGACGTTCTACCCTCCAGGAGATCGCCCATGACTCGCTTCTCTCCGGTCCGGGTCGAGATAATTGAGAGAACTCTTATCAGAGAAATTTCTAATTCAAGCTCCATATCCATACGTGAAATAAAGCGAGCGTACTTGTGAAGAACTCCCCCTGTCACCCATAGCTGTCGATACCTCCATTTCCCGGGAGAGCGGAGTGGAACAAACCGGAGCAACGAGGACTACTGCAATCGATGAAACACATTTGGTGCGGCTTGTACATAATAAGACGCGAGCTTTAGAGGTTTCGCGATACCGGCCGAGGACCTCCGCAGTGTTCTGTCGACGAGTCTTCGGCGGAACCTCGAAGACCACTCGGGAATAATTTTGTTCAAAGAGTTAGAGTAAGTTGGCTGGGCTCCTGTGAAATTACGTTCGCAATCCGATTCGTCTCATCGCGAACGCACAAGAGAATTTCAACTCGGTGAGATCTCGTCCTCTGAGTATTCGGGACATCGACTTAATGAGTTTGATTATGCGTAGAGAGAGCGGGATCCCGGAAGCGACCCCAAGTTCATTAGTACGCTCGCCGAACTCCTCCGCGTCATTGGAGGGGGACCCTGAGCGAAATTCTGTGGGGGTGAGACTTCGAGTCTCGACCATCGCCACCGTCGAACGACTCCATCGAGCTGCACGCGAGGCCGCTCCGCACCGACTTATGCATCAGATATTGCACAGCCATCGAGCTTCCGAAATCGAAGGAGGCGGCCGCCAACGTCGGAGGAGAGAGTATATGGCCTCCGAGTAGTCGTTCATTATTATGATTAAGTCACAAGAATTCTCTCGCAGCGGGGTGGATTCTCGAGGGAGCGTTTACACGTGCGAATCATCACTCATCTTCATGAATCACTACTCTCTGGGTGCGGGCTCTTCCGAGAAATAAACCTGCTCGTCCTGGCTTTCGCTTCCCCAAACAGTGAGACCATCACCTCCTCTCCGATTCTATTGAGATCCGCGATTGAAACGGAAGGGCGAGTGTGGGAGTGCACAGGAAATGGGACGGGCTCCGCTTTCCTTGATGAATTCCGGAAATGTTGTGGGATCCAGAAAAACGAATGGCTCCAGCATGTCGGGCCGACCTGGACCTCAAGTACCTTCTTTGATCCATCGTTTCGGTGTTCCGTATCGAATCAGGCTACGAAAGGCCCCTACTTGGTGCAACTCTCAGAAGGCAAATTAAGGGGTTTCGACGAAGTACCGAAATTAGTGATCACGTGGTCATCGCGGAGTTCCAAGACTGGGATCTCTGAACGAGAGGAGACCAGTTTCGAACCCATCGAACGGCAAAAACGACTCAATACGTTTT